CTGTCAACTGGGGATTCCATGTACATGGGAATGGTCGGAAACATGTGAGGCTTGGCGGTTACCCATGGTTCAGAAGGTCTTTCAAAAATATGAACCATTCATGGTTGTGACAAATGGATGTCGTGTGGGGTTGAGAGATGGAAAGAGTCATGGTTTGATTCAAAAGGGTTGGAAGCTAGCCACCACTCATGAGGGTTTAGCGAAGGCCATGGATCTCCCATGCATGTGCTCAGGCGTACATGTGAAATGCCAAGGAAAATTAACTAAGGAGAGCGCCTACTACACTGACGACTTTGCACGACGAGTCTGTCGTGCCTTGCTGCAAGGCGTAACATGGCAAGGACTGACTGCGGAGCTGATGGGGGAACATGGGGGTCCACGTCAGTTTCATGGATTCACACAAGAGTGCTCATGTCATGAGATTCAACATCCACGTAGCGAGGTCCGATGTAACATGTGTGAGAAACAAGGTGCGCAATCGGAAGCCTTCAGTTGGGTAAATCAAGGGGAACCACTTCCACCTTTGACGGAGGAAGAAAAGCAGAGATGCTTGCAGCAATTGGGTATGATCCATAGAAACACCGGCCATGGTCCTGTAGAGCACATGGTGAGGGCTTTAGAAATCCGTAAGGCGGACCCGAGAATCGTGGAGCTGGCACGGCAGTTTTCGTGCTCCATTTGTCACGAGCAAAAGAGGCATGTTCCTAGGCCAAGGGTTCATTTGGAGCCGTTGCCCCCAAAATGGCAGTCTATCCAGGTAGACTCAGCTCATTGGAGACACCCGAGCAATGGAAAACGGTATCAATTTTTGATCATGGTTGATGAAGGAAGTCGGTTTCGTTTGGGAAAAGTTGTTTGTGAGGGTTCGGAGAATGTGAAAGGTGTGGATCTTATTGATTTCTTTCAACAGCAGTGGAAACCTGTTTTTGGATGTCCGGATAAAATTCGATTAGATCCTGCAGGGGCTTTGAGATCAGAGGAAGTCACCAATTATTTCAACAATTTGGGGGTAGAAGTAGATCTCATTCCTGCTGAGGCACACTGGCAAAACAGCCTGGCTGAGCGTTCCATTCAAAGCACTAAGCATGTCATGACTCGTCTCCTCACTGCAGAACCATCCATGAGCGTCCAAGAGGCCCTGTCGGAATCCATAAGGGTAGAAAACGAGAGGGAGATTGTCAGGGGTTATTCTCCGTCACAACATGCTTTGGGCAAGACTCCTGAGTTGAATGGGAAGCTACATGTTTCAAACATCCAAGACATGCCAGCGGTTTTGTGTGAAAATGGTAATGGCGAATTTCCTAGGATTTTAGCTAGGATGAAAACTGCGGAGATGGCTTTTCAAGAATGGGTGTATGATGAGCGGATGACTCGTGCAAAGAACACACGCAGCTACCGCCAGGAAGTTTTCACGCCAGGCGAGTCTTTGTCTGGAGAGTGCAAACCAAGGGTCCAGCAAACAGTGCCAGGACAGGAGGATTCACGGGTCCCGCAAGAGTCTTGGCGACGGAAACACGGCTGGACGATCAAGGGAATTATCGGCCCGGGTCAGTCATTTGGGTTATCCGAGGAAATCGGCTGTTGAAAACGGCCCCACAGCAGTTGCGTAGGGCATCAGTTCGAGAGCAATGTTTTGAAGAACTGAGGAATCCCCCTGAATTGCCATGGACCATGACGAAACTAATGGATGACTTAGGACCCCGTCAGTTTGATGACGTGTCCAGAGAGGTGCCAAATGACATGGAATGGGAACAAGCGGTGGACGAGGAACAAGGTTCACCACAGTTTGTTCCACAGCCACCTCCTGTGAGGGTTCGGGGCAAACGATATGTGCCAGAGTCTCCTGGCCCTTCGCAGCCAGCACGGCCTCCACCACCAGGAGATCGGGACATGGAGATGCTGGATAGGGAATCTGGGGACTTGGTTGTGGATCAGGGAAGTAGCAACCTAGGTAGAGATACCATGTGTTTTTGGAACCAACCTGATTCAGCTGTGGAGATTTCCATTGACGTCCCAGAAAGCACGAGGGGTAAACGTAACATGGTCGAAAGATTTTCTTCCTTTTTGGTGACCAACTTGAAACGAAGAACGATTGAGGTGAACGAGAAACACCTGAATGAGCAAGAGTACCAAGAAATGCAAGAGGCAAAACAATGTGAGGTAAAAAAGTTTCTAGCTGCTGAGGCACTGGAGGCCTTACCTGAGCATGTACAACCACCAAAACACATGGCAATGCGAATGCGCTGGGTTCTGACATGGAAGAGAGACGAACACAATAACAAATCTGCGAAGGCACGATGTGTGATTTTGGGTTTTCTGGATCCTATGTATGAATACCGTCAGACTCATGCACCTACTATGAGTAGGACCACTCGACAAATCTTTTTGGCCATTGCGGCCTCTTTGGGTTGGGACGTCGAAAAGGGAGATGTCAGCGGTGCCTTTTTGCAAGGCCGAGATTACCCAGGAGAAGCATATGTCATTCCGACCCCTGAAATCTGTGCAGGTATGAAAATTCCTGAGGCATCTGTGACGAGGCTTCGCAAAGCTTGCTATGGCCTGGTGGATGCTCCACTGGAATGGTTCTTGACAGTTTCTGACTATTTGACATCAATTGGCTTCACCCGTTGTGTCTCGGATCCATGCTGCTTTAAGTACATTCATCAGGGCAAGTTGATTGGTTTGATCACGGGTCATGTTGACGATTTCTTGTTCAGCGGTTCCAAGGAGTGCACCATGTGGAAAGGTCTCTGTGAGCAAATTAAGAAGAAGTTTAAATGGGGATCTTGGGAATTAAACAATTTGACTCAGTGTGGTGTCCAGGTGAAACGCACGAGTGATCTTGGTTTTGAGCTGTCCCAAACACAGTACATTGATGATTTGCAAGAAATATCAGTGTCATCTGAACGCCGGAAACAAACAAACGTGGAAACAAACGAGAGGGACAAAACACGGTTGCGGGCTGTGTTAGGAGGGCTTTCATGGTGTGCACAACAGACATGTCCACATGTAGCTGCCGCTGTCAGTCTGCTTCTATCTCAGGTAACCACAAGCACGGTACAGACCATGTTGGAAGTCAATAAACTGGTTTACCAGGTTAAATCCCATAAAGACCATAAGATGATCATTCATGGAGGAATTCCCCTGGAAAGAACCTTGGTTGCAGGATGGGCGGATGCCGCATGTCAAAATCGAAAGGATGGCAAGAGCACACAGGGGTTGTTTGTTGGCCTCACTTCCATGACGCTGTTGTCTGGAGAGCTGTGCAAAGTAACACCAGTTTTCTGGGCCTCGAGTAAGATACAGAGACAATGTAAAGCCCCGGGGCCTCAGAGAGCCTAGCGGCAATTGACTGTGAGGATGTGCTGTATGCTGTGAGGCTGCAGCTGTTTGAGATGACGGGAGGAGTCGTGCGAGTGCGACACACAGGTCAACAGGTGTCACAGGTACCGGCTGTATTGGTGACAGACTCCACAAACGTGTATGACAAACTGCATACAGAAGTATATGTACCGAAAGGTCCAGAGCGTAGGGTTTCTTTGGAGATGCTTGGTTTGAAACAAGGAATTGAAGAGACAAATTTGGAACTCAGGTGGGTGCACAGTGACGCACAGTTGGCAAACTCACTCACCAAAGACAATGAACAGCACCAGTTGAACAAGTTTTATCAACTGGGACACAGATGGAAAATAGTTGAAGACCCGGAAATGAAATCAGCCAAGCGTAGAAAGAAACTGGGACTTGATGCCCTGGACGATGGTGATCTGCAACCCGGGGGAGGGGGGCATGACAGTTTCCTGTAACATTCGTACTCACAGCTTCTGTAGTAGCTCATGTTTTCACTTTGAAGTGTTTCTATCACCAGAACTTTCAGGTCCAAAGAATAGGAGTGAATGGCCCATACCGTGATTCTGCGATTCTGCTTAGCCATATCAATAACATCACAACTTGGGACTGGAACATTCCATTCTGGTTTGGAAGCGCTTGATCGGAGTAACGCCGATTTGTCAAGTCTGCAGTGGTGGAAAAGTGAAGCAGTATCCCTACCAATCCGCACTGAGAAGGGATTACCATAAAGCCTTCTAACCGTTCCTATGTGTGTGGGCCCCTTGGAAGTACTGTCCAAAATGTGCCAAATGGGGATCAAACCAGCGATTTCCCATGGATGATGATTTCTAATCATCAACAGGGGTTGCACTGTGCACTGAGTGCTCATACGGGGTACTTTGATTTCACTCTTCAGAATTATGGTTTTTTGACGCTGACACAAAAAATAAGGGATTGCACTGGGCATTAAAGCCACAATTCTCCTGGACTTGAGTCTCTTCACAACATGGGGGGTGAATGATCAACCATGCAGATACAATGATCAATTGAAGCAATATGTTTTTTGTAAAATGGCTTGCAAAAATCCACAGTAGATTAATATAATCTATATTTTTTGGAGGTGAAACCGCTATATATAGCAGCAGACCAAAGAAACGAATTTGATTTTTGGAGGTGAACTTTGGGATGCCAAAAGAACTCTGACTCTTGGGTGCTTGACCACTGGAATATAGAACACATGCTCAAAAACACCCAAAACATCAAGGTACATAAACGTATCAACATCACCCATTGCTATCGGTTTGAATCATGAACATCTAAGGGTAACCTGGATGTACCACCAGCCATCAATTTGGAGAATCACCATGACATCCCTCTCAATTTGTGGTTTCCCACTGATTATTTTCCCCATGATATATATACATTTGTTATATTTTTATTATATCTTATTATCATCCTTGTTATATTAGCCAGGATTTACTATATACCATCTGGCTATGACATTCACAGTTCGCCACGGAAAATCCACCCATTTTATAGCTAGGTAAACCATCTATTCTAAATGGGCCATGGCTTAACCATGGCGAACTGTTAGTCATAACCAGAGGGTAAAACGACTATTCCCCAGCGGTCCCATCGCCTCCGGTCCTCCGGCCCCACCAGTCCCACCGGTCCTTGGCACGGATGGCTTCCAAGACATCGTGAACCGTCTGCCGGGCCTCGTGCCTTAGCTTCTGGAAAATCCTATGGGGAAATCATGGGGATCTGATGGGTTTTTATAGGACTTTATATTGGTTTTTATGGGTTTTTTTATAGGATTTTATAGGATTTTATGGGATTTTATAGGATTTTATAGGATTTTATGGTGATTCAATGGGGATTTAGGCCAACTTGGATGGAATGATTTAGTGAGATTTCATGGTGATTTATATAAGTCGGGCACCAATGGACCCGTCATGCACTGGTTGTTTTAAGTTTTAAATCATGGATTTTCTGCGGTCAAGAAGTTTGGGGATGTCGGAGTGGTTCATACAAACATGGGAATTTATCATCCAACTCCTTTTGGTCCAACGATGATGGTGTTATATGGGTTCATACCCCCAATTAATGGTACTTACATGTGCCTGTTTAAACATAATGGGTGTTGATGTATGGTTGTATATATATATATATATATTATGAATATCCTGAATGGTGGTTTAAACCACCATTGTTTTAGGGTTCGCTGCAATTCTTTGCTGGGATCTGTTCTAGCTTCGAACATACTCTTGACTCTTGATTGTTAAAATCTTAAAACTAATTCTGAATTCACGTGTTTCTTGGTGTTCAACCCCACTTGTCTGTTGGTATCTACATGTACACTTACTGTTTGTTGGTATGCTCAACTCCATTTTTTTTGTCAGCATCTACTGTTTGATACAGTTTGGGTTATAAAAAGTCGGTGTTGATGGCTTTCAAACCACATTTTCCAGACGCAGAATTGCTCCCAACACCGGTAAAGTGGGTAAATATCGAGGACACATGACCAATTTCCCACCCAGAAGTGGCTGGGAAATTAGCCCATTATGAGTTGGAGCAACGCTAAAAAAAAATCATACTCCATGAATATTCCATTCATATCCCATTATATTCCCATTATAACCCATCCGAATATATTAATCGGATTATATTATATTATAGTAGCTATATATTGAAACATCATGATAGATGGTTTTCAAACCACATTTTTGGTGGTGTTAAACCGAACGAATGCCCAACTTTCCGTCCAGACACTTCTTCTCCTCAACCAATTCCTTTTCGCTCGCTGGCCACAGCATATCAGGGTCCTGCGAGGGGGAATCGGTGACATGAAATGTTCATCAACTGGGGGAAGCACAACACTTTCAACAATTAACACAAATATATTTATTGTATTGTATGATGTTATCACAAATGATTAGTCTATATAGTCATGTGTAGTCTATACACACCTGTAATATGTATGTATACTTGAGGTTGATCATGCTCTAAACACTGAATCTCATTTCAAAACATTTTACTGGGGCTTGATTGGTTCAAACGCGAGAAATCTAGATGAATAAGCACGGTCTAGCTGTTGTTTCACCTTAGAATCCGATGTTTTGAGTCAAAAAACCTGGGGGAATTCAGAAATATAAACCATACTGCTGTATATATATATCATATATTATCAATATTGATTCTCCACTGACTTCACGCAGTATGAGTGACCAACAAAAAAAAACATCACGTTGGGGTCGTTGTATATTGTTTCGCAGGCAATGATCGAGCCAGACAGGATTATTGAATATCTCAAGCCCATAAATCTACCTGGGGATTGTTGGAACAACAAGCCATTTACCCTCTGGTAATTTAACATAGCTATTGAAAATCACCATTTTTTAATGGGAAAATCCACTATAAATGGTCATTTTCAATAGCTACGTTAAATTACCAGAGGGTATATCCATTTATATCCATTTATGGCAATGACTTTAGGATTTAGGATGGTTGATTTGTGGCTTTTCGACTGTTTTTCAGAAACCGCCACATGGTCCAGTCTGAAATCAACTGGCAACTAGCAGCATTTCAGGTTTTTGGTTGGTGAGATCACTGAAACTTGGATTTTTGCTGACTAAAACCCAAACTGTTGCTTGGTTCAATACTATCAATACTACCATGAACTCCTTCCTCCTATTGAAGATCACCCAAAATGATGCCCTGGGATATTCATGCATGGGGGTCCCAAAACAAAAAAAACCACTGGCTCCAAGTTCAAACCCAAACCTAGGATTTAAACTATACTTTCTAGCTCCTTTAAGTATTCTCCGAAAAAAAACAAGAAATGTCCAGTTCTATCGACCCAGTATTCCCAAATCCCATGGAGATTTCCCCATTCCAATGGTCCCCAGTCCCATGGCTCCAGAGCCATGGGATTCCCATGGGATTTCCCACGTCCACAGCCTCATCCACCAGTTGCAGAAAGCGCTCTGGGCGGGCCGAGGAGTGCTCCGGGCCCTGGACGACTGGACGGCTGGAAACCAGGGGTGTTTTAAAAGGGCTGAAGGGGTGGCTGTGTCTTAAAGGTTGGGGATTTCCAAAACGGTAATGTTTATATTATATATATATATATATTTGAAATAGAAAAGAATAAACCATATTGGATATTGTGGTACCTAATTTTCCATAAATGGTCTCCAGAAATGGGGGGTACCCCAAAAATCGATGGGTTTACAATGTAATGGAAAATCCGGAAATAAAATTGATCATCTGGGGGCATCCCCATCTTTGGAAACCTCCATATAATCATCCTGGAAAAAATAGTATTCACCATTATTTACCAGTAAAATGGGAATATCTTTGAACAATCCGTATTCTGTCTACTTCAGGGTGGTTTCTAATGGTTTCTATTCTCTATCCCAACTTTTGGGGGTTAAACCGGTTAATGCCATCTTTATTCCATTTTATTCCCATCAAAAACACCCCAACTGCACTCCCAAGGAAGGGGCAGTTGGAGGGAAAAAAACCAGGTTGGATTTCACCAGGCTAAACCAACATCGATACAGGGATTTGCATGTCAAAAAAATATCACGAACTATGGAGAGTAAATGAACAATTGAGCTCAAGTGGAAATGTCGCGGAATTGTCGCAAGAATATCAAGAATCTCGAGAATATCGAGTAATTTTCAAGTCATTTTTTAAACTATAACTAGAGTAGCATAGAGTAGCAATAAAGGGGACAGCAACCAACAAATCATGAGACTCCATGGGACTGATCATCGGGACATTGCTGTAGCCACTGTAGCCGAGAGTGTTGAGCTGGCCACAAAACAAGGCCAGTAAAGTGTGTGTGTGTGTTTGTGTTTGCAACAAAATGGTGTTTTGAGAGGTTTTGAGGATGGACCATCTGATTGAACCAACTTAAGCATTTCAATATAATATATTCCAATGCAACCCAGCAAGATGGGGGTTGCGCAACAGCAGTGGTGATTGGGCTGAAATCCAGCTATTCAAAATGCCAAATCTTGGTTTAGAGTCTGAAGTGTTTTTTCAGTGGTAAACACCAACAGAAAGTTCTGGAAACTTTGGCCCTGCAATAGACCTGCAAACAACTAAAACATATGAAACTGGCCAATGGGAAAATGATCAGATCAGTTCCAGAATTAATAATATCTATGTGAGGCTGATGTCTTCAAATTCTGCACATAAGTATATACTATGTATATACTCTTGAAAGATCCTTGAAAACATCATCAAAGATCCATTTTTGACCTATTCACTGTCTTGTGGACCTTGCATTTATTTTGATGCAAAAAGGAGCTGTTGAGCCCTTCTACTAACGTTTGTGCTGGTCCAAAACAATCAGTACAAACAGAACATCTCAGATCCAAGGTAAATATGATTTTTTTACCCACTGACTACCCTCCGGTGTCATCAGCTCCATGGCTGGAAAAGCCACCATGAATAGTTCGATGATGGCTTGCCAGTTTAACCCTCCATGGCGCCATGGGGGAATTCCCTGCCAGCCACGGCTAGCCAGCAGGGTATCAATCAATATTCCATCAATATATAGCATTAATCTCCCATTCAGAAATCCTGTGATTGATAATAACATTGACTGGTCACTATTTTGCAATATAGTACGATATGCTCACGATTACTAACCGTTATCAACCTTAACCCATTATCAGCATCTATTTACCTTTTATTAACCAATATTCAAATATTGAACATCATTCTTCACCATGATGAACCACTATTCACCAGTATTAACCATTATTAACCACTATTAACAACTATTCACCCAGTATAATCATCATTAGCCCAGTATATACCCTCTGGTAAACTAACATAGCTATGGAAAATCACCATTATTAATGGGAAAATATGGGAAAATCAACTATTTCTATGACCATTTTCAATAGCAAACTGTCAGCCACCATTACCAGAGGGTAAGCACTATGAACCTAATGATGAACCACTATTAACCCATGCCGTCATCATCGGTTAACCCATGCCTGCCCTTCCAGGCCGTGTGGGAGCAGCATCACCAGATTGCTCTCGCTACCCCACCTAGGTCGTCCAACGGTCCAACGGTGGCCTACCGTGGCGTCCAACGGCGCCGTTGTTAAAGTGTTATTAAGTGCAAAATCATTAAGACTGGTTATTTTATATGGGATATTGACTTGAGTAATATCTATAACATTTAATGATTGATGTTATACTGGTTTCAAGAATGAGGAATGTTAATACTGGTTTATGTGTGGTTATCCAGAGTAATGGTTGATGTTAATAACGAGACTATTGTTTGAAGATAAATCAAATTGTTGTTTCAAGATAATGCTACGGTATAAGATATTTCAGAGTAATGATCATTGCAAGATATACAGTATATATGTATGTATATATATATATAATATAAGTTATATATATATATGTCAATCACATCAACAGTCAATAAGCTTCTTGAAAGCCTGATTTCTATAGGCCTGCTGTTGTGTTTTCGAAACAAATCAGACATGTCACCAGTGTCATTGCTGGAAGGAATCATCCAAGGTTGACTCAGAAAATCCAAGCCGCACAAATCTAAGGATTTCGGCAACAAACGAACAAACGTGGCAATTGACCAACAGAACATTGCCAGGGATAAATGTTGTTGCCCAACAAGGAGTTTTGACCTCGGGGTACAAATCTTCATGGTGACTTTCCGCTGTTGTTTCACCAGGGCCCCGGCTTCTGCTCGCCACTGGCAATGAAGTTGTCGATGATGGGCTGCGCACAATTCGCAAAGTCACCAAATTGTGCCTGGTCTCGAAAGCTGAGAGAGCTGCGCCGTGCTGAAAAGAATATGCAATGTATAGTGACTAATTATATGGAGGTTTCATAAGTAATGATAATCATGGGGGTACCCAACATCATCATACATCATCCAAGTCATGGATGACCTTTTTTGTATTGAAACCCATGGTGACTTGGGGGATCCCCCATGACTTAAGAACCCCCCATAAAAAAAAAAATGGAAAAGTCGATCCAACTGTTCCAGCCTCCCACATGGTCAGCGCCAAACCAGCTCCTTCCTCCACAGAATAGCCATATTCAAAGCCAAGAATGGCCTGAGTTGAGGTGGCAGGTCTTGTCTAAGGAGTCAAGATTCATCCATTTGAAATATGCCAAAATACATTTTCTTCTGGCGTCCCCCTGACTAGGCTGGCTACAAAAAAACTAGGCTGTATAGAATGCTATAGCTACAACATGGCATCAATCCCCCTTGAATAAAGGAAACCAATGGCTACACAATTGCTATCACATCTGCCATGGCGACACCAGGTACACCCAGGGACCAGCTCGGAAAGTGAGGAGTTGCACACCACCGCCTCCGACTGGTCACCCAAGCCCAAGTCGCCTTAGCATTCTCCGTGGATGGCCAGGGACCCCAATCCGACATGGGAAGTAACCACATAAAAATCAATGAATATCTGGGTTATATATGGGTTATATAGGGCTCATATAGGCGTTATAAATCACTTGCTAAGTGGGATTCACATCCAAGTAGGCTGGTGACGCAAAGTTGCCGTGGCGTTTCAGCATGAACCCCACATGGAAATATCGTGAAAACATCCGAGTATGGAAAAGACACTTAAACCGCCTACATGCACTTTCTACCAAAGGCCAAATCATGCCAAATTTAGGTGAGTCTGCGGATGGTACGATAAAGTATTATGTGCAATCGAATCTGAGTAATCATCTTCCATCCTCTCTGAGATTGTTGCAGTAGTGGAATGCAACTAGGTCCTTTTGATCCAGGCACCCTTCCCTCTCAAAAGGCCCATCCCCAAAAGGCTGTTCCACGCTGGCGCCTGGAGTTCTTACCATCAGAAGTAATCAACTCTAAGTCTACAGTCTACCCAGGAAATTCACAAAATTTTCAAAATTCCGGGAAAACATCTACTGGAGGAGGCACACCTATAAAATAAATAGTAACTAGTAGTCGAAAATCCTGAGATGCTTCCATGTTTCCCTGTGGAATCCCAGTCACTCAGCATGCTATAAGGTATGGCTGAATCCTGGTCGTGGATGATGCCTAGGATCACAGCAGGAGGTCATTGACCCTACCTGACCATGGTCATTCTATCCAGATGCTCCATGTATAGAATAGTATGAAATACTATATAAGTCATAGAAGTCATGTCTTTTTAATGCAAAAAGACTTTGCCCATACATTCCATGTATGGAATATTAACCTACATTTACTTACACCAAATAGTTTGCCATGTATATAGGTAAATCATGGTAAATCTTCCCTACATGGGGCACCTTCCATGAGCATCATTGGACATATCGCGGTACCGCAGGACATTCGATAGGAAGTATGGGATAGTGGCAACAATTCCACTATAGTTTTTGGGAAGATTACGGGAATCAAATGGGAATATTGTGGGGACATAATCTATGGGAATCTAATTGGAATGGTATAGGAATATAATTAAAAAACCATGGGATCTGCAACAGGAATGGGAACTTCCATAGAATGTAACCCTTATGTTCAAAATAAGTATGATACCTTCCAAAGAATTTGGTAATTTGTTGAGATATGGAGTGATATAATAATCACAGGGGATATATATATATATATATATATATATAGTAGTGGGAATAATTCTGGTCCACTAAGTTGAATACCCCTATATAAATGAAACCATGGTTTCGCATAGGATCAAATTGGACCTCTATTTTTTTTTTGGGGGGGGGGCATGTGTGGTGGATTTAATCTTATGTGGAAGCCGCGGCAAATTTTAGGAAATTCTTCAACCATCGTGATGGCAAGTGAGTGGTTTAGGAATGGTCCATATACATGTTCCTACATGTGCACGTGGTTCAAATATGGGGATCATGAAAAAATGATGTTAAGCAGTAATTGGGGAGAATTGTGATATGCTGGGGATGAATTGAATATAGCTGTGGGAAATATTATAAAACCAAGCATATGATATTTGGCTGGGTCAACAGAACATTTACATGGTTTTACCCTCAAATATGAATCGTGTAATGAGAAATTGTTAATCAGTGGATTTCGGGGGGGTCTCATATGCAAACAAACCCACATTATACATTGCGACCCATTTTCCAAGCACTTGTCTTCAAAGGCCACAAGGGTGATTTCGGCCCCAGTGGTTTTCGGACATTTTGCGAGTGACGATGTTTTCCATAGGTGGTTTCAGGGGTTGCAAACCGAAGCCACCCAACGACTCCCTGTAATTTTTACTAACTTTAGTGGGTTCAGGAGTTCAAAAACATGGTCCAGACTGGCTAAGAAATGCCTGGATGCATTCCTGGGTAATACTATGGTTTCCAAGCCTTTGGTGGGCTTTGAGGCAGAATCCCCATGCGCATCGACTCACCATGTGTCCTCTGATTTCAGTGTTCCTCTTTTTGACGACTCATCTCCATCAATCATCCCAACATTGGACTAAAGTTTCTAAAGCACATATTGTTAGATGGTTTATAGTGGACAATCCTATTAAAATGGCTGATTCGGGGGTACCCCCATTTTAGGAAACTTCCAGATGTTGAAGCATATTAAAAACTCATCTCATGCCCCTTCTGATAAATCCTACCTTTATGGGACCCCAAGTTGTGTCCATTGTCCTCACCCTTCGCCGCTCCAGCCACGGTGCTGTGCCGTTGGTTAAAGGTGCCACGCTCAACATCTTGCCCTCGGAGCCGAACAAATATTTCATCAAGCATAGCAATGGAACATCCCCTATATATAAATGGGACAAATATCTATAAATGGTATATGTTCTATTGCTATGTTTGATTACCTCAAAATTGCCAGATCATTACTGTATCATTTCTGTATTGTATCATGTTTTCGGGCATCCGATGTTCAAATAAATCCATGTATCACTGGGTCGCAACCACGGCTTCTGACCGCTTGCCAGTCCAGGGCATAAGTGTGCGCTTGGCTACAGGATGCTATAGGCATCCTGATAGACTCTTAGAGACTCTGATCGAATAGATACCGTAGGATGTCACAGATATAAATAGCTATAATCCAATCCCCGTAACTATATACTGAACATCTCCGTTGTATGGTCCCAGATATGGCCTTTTTATTCCCGACCTTTCACATCCTTTGAATCCCATCCCCCTCATATTAAACACCCCCATTCTATGGTGCCAGTGTGGAATTTCCATACGTTTCTTACCATGGTTTCTACACTAAGGGGGTGTTTCATATTAATATCATATTATGGGGCTGGGATGAAAACATCCTTTATAATCCCATATATCATCCATTTACCCTCTGGTAAACTAACATAACTATGGGAAATCACCATTTTTAATGGGAAAATCCACTATAAATGGCCATTTTCAATAGCTATGTCAGCCATTATCAGAGGGTAGTTCGTTATAGTTCGTTTTACCTGCAGGGACCATAAGGGACCATTGGTCGTCCCGAGGCACCGGAGAGGCGCACGTGACAGGGCGGATGCACGCGGTAGTGCAGCTCCGGGATGCCCTCGGAATCCACCAGTAGACCTGTCTTCAATTCCTGGCGCCCAACAAAAACAGGATGGACGTGGGATTTTAATGGATTTTATGAGTGTATCTATATATTTTTATTGATATCTGTAAATATAAAATTATATATACAGCAGAATTACAGCAGTATATATACGTAATTATATAGAGAGAGAGAGTTGATGACTCTTCGATGTTATTTTCAGGTTGTAAATGGAGGTTGACACTCATATGGCTGGCCTGAGATTCGTTGAATTACCCACAGGTGTCCATCAAAAAATGGATGACACCTGAGGCCAACTAAATCAACTAAATCCAGAAAAAAAAACATTTCTATCATATGTAGTGACCAGCAACTAAAAGAAATCAACTACATCAACTAAATCCAGAAATCTATCAACTAAATCAACTTATCTCCAGCAAAAAGTGTCCAAATCATATGTAGTGTCCAGCATCTTCGACAACCAGTTTTAAGCGATTCGCCCACCCGGCCGCTTTAAAAGCCAATCATCCAAATCTTTTGAGCGGGTAAATTTAAGTGCGGAGCGGTTTTTCAGCAATCCTTCTCACTCCAAAGAAATAAAACACATATTATACTACATACATCAATATATTGCATCTCTTTGTGGCTCAAAAAACACTATGAAAGCCCATTTGGATCATCCCATTTCGATGGAAAACACATGAAAACACAATTCAATCTGGCTGTGTCTGGCATGAGCCCCATATGGACCCCATGGACATCAATTTAGGGGGACCTACTTCGATCAGGACTTTGACCAGCTTCGTGACGGTTCAGGGGTTCGTCTCTGACCATGGGGCCCGAGTTATGTCAACCCTCAATGCATGTTACCCTCTGATAATGGCTGACATAGCTATTGAAAATGGCCATTTATAGTGGATTTACCCATTAAAAATGGTGATTTTCCATAGTTTTTTGATGTTTTTTGTATGTTTACCAGAGGGTAAACTGACCCATTCCTCTCCAGTTTCCCCGTTGCTCCAGCAATTCGTCCTCGTGGCGCTCGGGGTTGAAGCGCAGGATCAACGAGCCGATGGCCAGGGTCTCGGCCAGCGGCCAATCGATGCGGCCTGCGTCGTGAAACATGGGGAAAAACGGAAAAACCATGGTGAAAAGCATGGGGAAAAACAGTGGGATTTATATGAATTGATTATTGATTGATTCATGATCTATGAAGATTTTATGATTTCATATGATTTCATATGATGTGGCTGTAGACTGTAGCAATGGTATATTATATATAATGGTATAAACACTTTGGATTGTGGTTCCAAAATTCACCGAAGTCTTGAACACTTGGGACATCGATCAGATCCAGGCTTGGTCTTTGAAAACATCTCTTCACTGTCAGATCTGTCAGATGATTCACATTGTCAAAAATGATTTGGCCATAGTTCATCATCTGGTTGGTGGTTTCAAACATGTTATAATGTCATGATCTCAACTGACGAACATTTTTTTCCATTTCATATATGGGATGTCATCCTTCCCATTGACTTACAATACTCATATTTTTCAAGATGCTGATTGCACCACCAACCAGATCATGAGTACCCCAGCTTTCCGTGGGTCCATGGCACCATGTTTGATCCATTTGAATCCTCGACCATTAGAAAGTCTCACCTTTGGCTGAACTTCCACCATGAAAACATATGAAATCATATGAAAACATATGAAATCATATGAAATCATATGAACTAATGAATTCACTACCTTGCTAGGAAATCTCAGGCACTCAAAAACGTCGCTCCAGTCTATGGATGAATGATCACTCAATTCCGCAAATCCTCCAGCCAGGGGAAGTCCCGGTCGACAAACTCATCAGATCTGAGAAGAATCAAAGAAAGGACCGCGATGCAAAAATAACGCACGGAACGAATCATGTTCAATCATGTTCACATGTCTTCACTATATGACTATATTGAGAGAGGTTCCCAACCGTCAGGTGAGATTAACACAAGTCACAGCAACTAGAGCTGACACCAACAGCGGCTCCACTGTGTCCCCCGCCTTGCTGCAGTTGCGCCTTCCGCTTTTCTAAGGTCTCACGCACCTTTTTGTGCGCGTTCACATTCTCCGGGATACGACAGGCCGCCTGGTTGCAGATTGACTGAGTGGATGAAAATCGAGGAAAGAAACCAGTGCACACGACTCCATTCATTCCACACAATCCAGCAGCTTCGGTTGAATGTATTCAAAAGCGACGCATTGTTTGGATTTATGTGGAGTTACCTGGATTCATTTCGATTTCTTTTGCATATTCTTCATTTGTATCATATACCCTCTGGTAAACTAACCGTTTGCTATGGAAAATCATGATTTTATAGCTGGGTAAATCTATGAACAACATTGCCATTTTCAGTTAGCAAATTGTTAAATTGCCAATGGGTCGGTATATTCTCATGCTATTCCCACTAAATCACATGTTTTGACAGTAAATCATGGAGTGGTGGACTAGTGGTGGGGGCTATGGGGGGGGTTATGAGCTTATCATTTAAGGTCTTGATAAGGCTGGGTAATCAAGGTCAAGTCACTCTTGGACCTCCCAAACTTGCAATGAACATCCAGAAACTCACCTTTCTGGAAATGATCATCCTTGCTTATCCATAGCTTATCCAGGTTTATTCTGAGCCCCCCCCCCATAGCCCCCTCCACTACCCCATGAGTAAAATCACCATTTCCCAGACAATATTCCCATCATCTCATGGTCAATCTTTGGTAGTCCACACTGTTTTTCTTCTGGTTATGGTTCTTGCACGTTAATGGGGTTATTGCACGTCATGGCTACTTTCCACAGCCAAAAAAAAACAAGAAAGGATGAGTTTCTACCATCATCCGCTGGGGATGATGGTAGCCCATCCATTTTTTTCCCCATGTTACCCTCTGGCAAACTAACATAGCTATGGAAAATGGCCCATTTATAGTTGATTTACCTCTTAAACTATTGAAAATCACCATCCTTAAAAATGGTAAATCAACTATACGTGTATAAATGGGCCATTTTCATCCATTTTCCATAGCTATGTCAGCCATTAGCTTCCAGACTTCGGGTTGCGCCTCCCCAATCATCTTCAGCCACGACAAGGGCAAACCCGTGAGATTCACCGGGCGCTCGATGCGCAGGGGCCGGTTCTGGAAACTCGAGCCTGGCAAAGCCCAGGCCTATTTGGGGCCTTTCAGAAAAGGGTATGTCATGAATGTTAAGCAACCGAAATTATATGCTGTATGTGTATGTATTTATATATATAGACCATATATATATATGGGGGTTGTCCAAAATACCTTTTCCCGGACAGCCCTCAATCGCTCAGCCAATCGCGTAGCAACCGCGGTACCACAGTGAGCAATCGCGGAAGGGTTTGTTCTTCGTTGATCAGATCATATACATAAAATATAAGTTATGTATTATATAATGAGGATCCATGCGTGAACGCATTCGATTTCAAATTTGGGAACAAAATAAGCTCGCGCGGTCCGGAAACTGTCCGGAAAACTCACAGTAGTACCAGCAGCAGTAGTACTAGTAGTACTAGTAGTACTAGTAGTACTAGTAGTACTAGTAGTACTAGTAGTACTAGTAGTACTAGTAGTACTAGTCGTAGTAGTAGTAGTAGTAGTAGTAGTAGTAGTAGTAGTAGTAGTAGTAGTAGTAGTAGGAGGGGTAAGAGTAGGAGTAGGAGTAGGAGTAGGAATAGGAGAAGGAGTTCTAGTAGCAGGGCAAGGGAAGAAATGGAGAGGGAGGGAAAGAGAGAAAGAGAGAGAGAGAGGGAGGGAGGGGGAAACAGATGGTTGCGTTTGACCGGTTTCTGACGGGTTTCTGACTGGTTTCTGACTGGTTTCTGACTCGTTTCTGACCCTTCAGCGGAACTCGTGTCAATTGGATTTAAAAGCAAGAGCAGAAATTCCTAGGTGTACTAGTGGTAGTGGTGGTGCAGTAGCAGCGGGTGTGGTGGTAGTACTAAGAGTAGTAGCAAATCTAGTAGTGGGAGTAAGGATCCATGCGTGAACGCATTCGATTTCGAATTTGGAAGCAAAATAAGCTCGCGCGGTCCGGAAACGGTCCGGAAAACTCACAGTAGTACCAGCAGGACTAGCAGTAGTGGTAGTGGAAATTGCAATAGGAGTAGGCGTAGGAGTTCTGATGGGAGGGTGAGGGAATAGGCAAGGGAGAGAGAGAGGGAGGGAGGGGGAAACAGATGGTTGCGTTTGACCGGTTTCTGACGGGTTTCTGACTGGTTTCTGACTGGTTTCTGACTCGTTTCTGACCCTTCACACGAGTGCAATTGGATTTAAAAGCAAGAGCAGAAATTCCTAGGTGTACTAGTGGTAGTGGTGGTAGTGGTGGTGCAGGGTGGTGCAGTAGCAGCGGGTGTGGTGGTAGTGCTGGGGGTAGTAGCAAATCTAGTAATGAGAGTAAGGATCCATGCGTGAACGCATTCGATTTCAAATTTGGGAGCAAAATAAGCTTGTGCGGTCCGGAAACGGTCCGGAAAACTCACAGTGCACTAGCAGTAGCAGTAGCACTAGCAGTAGTGGTAGTGGAAATTGGAATAGGAGTAGGCGTAGGAGTTCTGGTAGGAGGGTGAGGGAATAGGCAAGGGAGAGAGAGAGAGAGGTTGCGTTTGGAGTAGGAGTAGGAGTAGGAGTAGAAGTAGGAGTAGGAGTAGGAGTAGTAGTAGGAGTAGTAGTAGTAGTAGCAGTAGTAGCAGTAGTAGTAGCAGTAGTAGTAGTAGCAGTAGTAGTAGTAGTAGTATTAGTAGCAATGATAAGAGCTGAGGTGGATGGATGGATGGATGGATGGATGGATGGATGGATGGGATGCTAGGCAAGTGCTGCCTTTTTGGTGTTTCTGACCTGTTTCTGACCTGTTTCTGACCTGTTTCTGACCTGTTTTCAATTGGAGCTAGCTTGAATGTCCTTCTGACCTGAAAACATCTGCGCGCGCGCGGAATCCGCGCGGCCATGTCAATTATTGGCATGGTTCTGGTCTCGAAAGTAGTAGTAGTAGTAGTAGTAGTAGTAGTAGTAGTAGTAGTAGTAGTCGTAGTACTAGTACTAGTAGTACGTAGTAGTAGTAGTAGTAGTAGTAGTCTAGTAGTAGTAGTAGTAGTAGTAGTAGTAGTAGTACTAGCAGTACTAGTAGTAAAAGTAGTACGAGTAGTAGTAGTAGTAGTAGTAGTAGTAGTAGTAGTAGTAGTAGTAGCAGTACTAGTAGTAAAAGTAGTACGAGTAGTAGTAGTAGTAGTAGTAGTAGTAGTAGAAGTAGTAATAGTAGTAATAGTAGTAATAGTAGTAATAGTAGTAATAGTAGTAATAGTAGTAATAGTAGTAATAGTAGTAATAGTAGTAATAGTAGTAATAGTAATAGAAGAAGTAGCAATGATAAGAGCTGAGGTGGATGGATGGATGGATGCTAGGCAAGTGCTGCCTTTTTGGTGTTTCTGACCTGTTTCTGACCTGTTTCTGACCTTTCCCGGAGTCTTCTTCAACTTCAAAAAAATCAGCACGGGCAGTCAAACTAGGAACAATTTTAGTGATCGTCAAAGTAATATCATTACTAGTGCCCCAAATACTAGTACTAGTGCTACTAGTAGTAGTAGTAGTAGTAGTAGTAGTAGTAGTAGGAGGAGGAGGAGTAGAAGTAGTTATAGTAGTAATAGTAATAGTAGAAGTAGCAATGATAAGAGCTGAGGTGGATGGATGGATGGATGGATGGATGGATGGATGGGATGCTAGGCAAGTGCTGCCTTTTTGGTGTTTCTGACCTGTTTCTGACCTGTTTCTGACCTGTTTTCAATTGGAGCTAGCTTGAATGTCCTTCTGACCTGAAAACATCTGCGCGGATTCCGCGCGCGCGGAATCCGCGCGGCCATGTCAATTATTGGCATGGTTCTGGTCTCGAAAGTAGTAGTAGTAGTAGTAGTAGTCGTCGTAGTAGTAGTAGTAGCAGTAGTAGTAGTAGTAGCAGCAGTAGTAGTAGTAGTACTCGTACTCGTACTAGTAGTAGTAGTAGTAGTAGTCGTAGTAGTCGTAGTAGTAGTAGTAGTCGTAGTAGTCGTAGTAGTAGTAGTAGTCGTAGTAGTCGTAGTAGTCGTAGTAGTCGTAGTAGTCGTAGTAGTAGTAGAAGTAGGAGTAGTAGTAGTAGTAGTAGCAGCAGTAGTAGCAGTAGTAGTAGTAGCAGGAGTAGTAGTAGTAGTAGTAGTAGTGGTAGTAGTAGTAGTAGAAGTAGTAATAGTAGTAATAGTAGTAATAGTAGTAATAGTAGTAATAGTAGTAATTGTAGTAATAGTAGTAATAGTAGTAATAGTAGTAATAGTAGTAATAGTAGTAATAGTAGTAATAGTAGTAATAGTAGTAATAGTAATAGTAGAAGTAGCAATGATAAGAGCTGAGGTGGATGGATGGATGGATGGATGGATGGATGGATGGGATGCTAGGCAAGTGCTGCCTTTTTGGTGTTTCTGACCTGTTTCTGACCTGTTTTCAATTGGAGCTAGCTTGAATGTCCTTCTGACCTGAAAACATCTGCGCGGATTCCGCGCGCGCGGATCCGCGCGGCCATGTCAATTATTGGCATGGTTCTGGTCTCGAAAGTAGTAGTAGTAGTAGTAGTAGTAGTAAGTAGTAGTAGTAGTAATAGTAGTAGTAGTAGTAGTAGTAATAGGGTGGTAGCCGTATAACCAATCGCCAACCAATCGCTCAGCCTATCGCGATGCAGGTTTTAGCAATCGCGCAAAGCAAAGTAAACGCATCAATTCATAAATTTGTGACCTGCTTTTACGGACGGCTCCCATATATATATATATATATATTATGCATGTATATGTATGCAAGTGTTTATATATATATATATATATACAGTATAACTTATAACTTATAACATATAATGCAACATTATCATAAAACCATACATGACACTCATTGGGATTGAATCATTTTAGGTACTTCTCGGATTGAACACAAATCTTTGAGACCACCACGGGTCCGCCGGGAGATTCCAGGAAAATCTCAAGGATGGGAGGCAACCAAAATCTTGAGCCATCTCTAAGCTCAACCAACTGCCTTGCTGACCAACCGTCAAGGTTGGGTGTCGTCGTATCATGTCCTATCATTTTCAGACAAAACCGTTTCAACATCCCAATTATCCTGTCACATATCATTATACTGAATTATACTGTAATATAGAGTAATAGTTTTATAATGTTATATTATATTATATATATATATGTATATTATATGTATATATCAAATCCTATAGTAGTAGTATATAAATATCCCAATGACAGTCCAAGTATCGATAGTGAGATTCCAAGCAAATTATTGTTGATCCCCTCGTCTTGAAAGTCCAGTTGCAGTGATCAGTGGATATATAGCCATAGTTTATAACCATCATATGGGGTTTATATAATCACATACATTTACGTGTCTGTATAGTTATATACATGCTTATAGCCATATGGGGCGTCTTATAATATCATAACGTTTTATAACCATATGTAGCCATTTCTACAACCTCAACTGCAGCCCCGTTCCGCTGGTCTTCAAATGGCGCGGCCTTCGAGCTGCGACTCCCGTTCCGCTTCAAACTCCTGCTGAATGTGTCGCCTCAAACGCTCCACCTGCTCTTGCGTCAGAACACCTCGCTGGAGCAGGAGGGGGGGGCCATGGGAGCCATGGGATGATCCACTTGGGATCTTGGCAGATCGCCAAACCAATGACCAGTGGCAAAGATGGATCCCTGTTTTGTTCATAGCCCAAAGCCTAGGTGGTTTCATTGGGTCCATTCAAATACTAAGTGATCACTTTGGGGTTAACGACTCCCACTCAGCCAGGGTTCATCAATTCGAGATTGACATTGATCAACGAATAGATGGGGCCAAGGATACAGCAGCGAAATTCAGGGATTGGCGAATTGATCCAGAGCTTGCTCCGAAGCCCAGTTGGGGTTCAAAGATACGAGAGACATCCAGAGACTCTCTTTGCACCAAAATTTCGAGAACTGGACCAGATGAAATCAATGATTCAGAAGAAAAAATCGCTTCCCATTCCCATCATCCACATCATCCACATTCCATTCATGTCCATTCCACTTCCCAAGAAAAACCAGCGATCTCCCCACAGATTTCCAGGTTGAGATACCTGTCTCTACCAGAAGCTCACTGTACTGTTGGGAGACGGGCAGATGTTCCTTCATCCGCCTCTGTGATAGCGGCTGCGTCAAGGATGGATCTTCCGCCTGGGCCGACAACCGTGGAATATGTACCCTCCAGCTACGGAAGCTGTGGAACCATTAAGATATGATTTTACATGCTCTATAGATGATTTTTGATGGTTTCTTATAAATTATAGATATATATAGATATATTACAAATGACCAGAGGAACATTTTTCTGATGATTTTTGTTGAGCTGTTTTGGTAGTTCTTTCACATCAACCGTTAGGCTGCGGCTGGTGGAAGCTTCGATGCGTTTTTTCATGTTTTTTCAACGGTGCCTAGGGTAAAAAATCCCAAGGGGTTTTGTAGGAAAATGATCGACAAATGGTGAGTTTTCCGCATCTATGTTAGTTTACCTTATTGCTATATATATATATATCAGAATATGATTCCCCTTTTTTGTTGGGTAGCAACCCCAACTATTTCTTGTCAGTTCAGAGCGTCCCATTTTGATAGGCTCATTTTATATTGGGGACACTGAGATAAATTTCAGTTGGGTACCCCTAAAACAAGTTCAGTTGGATACCCCTAAAACATGTCAATTTTGTCTGGATTAATTACGCCAAGTAGGGTATTACCCTCGGGTAATCAGCACATGTGCTGGAAAATCCCATCATTTCCGGCAGATCCCCCACCTCGCTATGTCCTTCACGGCGATAACACACCAAATCCACCACCACATCCTGACGACCGAACCTTGAAACCATCCAGTGCGTTGGGCCTATGCTGATCTCCCCACATGATGAGTTGTTTCCCCCAGATTTTCTATTTTGATTTAGATACTAACAGTTACTAACACTCCCAATATGCACAGAATGTTATAGAATATGAAATTCCATGAAATCCCATGAAATCCCATATGCCGGTTTGTCAAAATGTCTTTGTCTGGTTTGGTCGATAAATCGTAGTTCCATGCATCATGCCACTTCATATTTGAATTTAAAAAATATTACTTATCTAAATAGTCTGAAACCCTGCATTGTATCTTTTATGTTTGAAACCGAAGCTAAAACCTGCAGGAAGTGCTAAGAATTAGTCGTGGAAATTCAAGAATTGTTCATCTGCTTCAAGGCTTGTCGTTGCCTTTGCTGGCACTGTTGCTTTTGTCAAACAGCAAGGATAAACTCAAGTTCTCTGACGGCAACTGGGTCACGGGTCAGCCAAAGCCGCTTTTTGCAACTTTTGCTAGCCCATCGCTCGCGGGGATCTAGCGGGTAAAATTACGTATAAATTTACAAAATTGAACGACAATCTTAAAAACATAGGAAAATGGTGAGTAGCACATAAATTCACTAAGACATCCTTAGGTTTAAGGCGCTAAGTGTAATATGTGTTTTCATGTTGAAATTAAGGCACGAAGAGGAACAACCACTAGATTCACACCAATTATCAACAGCCCGACTGCTCCAAATACCATCTGAAAGGTGTTTATAGATGATACCTCTTCTTGACGGCTTATCTTAAATCTCCATGTTGGCAAGTGAAAAACCCAAGAGTTATATCCCATTGACATCCGTTTTTATTGCATCCCACTTTATCAAATAGTTTAACATAATGGAATGGAATATAACCTTACGAATAATCTTCTTATGTCATAAATTATATCCGATAAGCCAACAATTTAGTTTATGTTAGTTTCAATAGATTTCAATAGTGTCCTTTTGGGGAAAAATATCTCAGGGTCGCTTTCAGGTACCATTGATTTCATCATTTACCTACTGATTGCTGGAAAAATTAGGGACCTCTTTCTTGATGAACCAACCACAAAGTGAGGCCCCCCAGTTACAAGTTGGTTTATAAATATTTATAAACCCCTATTAACTATAGTTATACCGTATAATAATATACCCACACAAACCATGTTGTGAACCAAGTGCTATGGTTATGGGTCAAAACCCTGGTACCCAAACGGTGCCCAAAGTCATAGCTGGTATAGCTGGATGGTTAGTCCCCCAGTGGTAAATTCATAGGTAACAAACGACCCATCCTATCACAAGTGAGGCCCTCCCTTATAAGTTGCTTTATAAATCCCTATTAACACCTATTTTATAAATCCCTATTAACACCTATTGACATTTATTGACTATATAGTTATACCCAAAAAAAACATGTTGTGAACCAAGTGATATATAAATCAACTTAGAGCCATCCTTTGGGATCCCATGGTTAGCTTCATCCTACCCGCAGCGCCGCAGCGCCTTGCGGAAGGTCTGGCGATACTCCGCCGCCAACTTCGACACGAACAACACGGCGTCCACCTGGCGGTCTCCAGCGGCAATGATTTCGTGGGATTCAGAGTGTTTTTAATGAGGACTTCATGGGGGGTTTAATCGATATGAATTAATGGATATATGTATATAATATATATATATAATTATATTATATATATATATATGTGGCTGAAGTACAAGAATTCACTCACCTGAAAATGGCTGAATTGTTGGGACATTTGCAGATAATTCATTGAGATTTATACCATGAAACATAGAGGTCTCGTGCAGAATTGTCCACCAATTCCATCCGATTTGGCTTCAGTGAGATGGAGTGATCCGAAAAAAGTGACACATCTTCAATCAGTTTTACTGCACCTATCTTCAATGTCAATTGTGATCAAATCCCCATTTTTTGGTTGTGAGTTTGACTACGTCACCACCCCCATCTTTGCTGCAGCTTATGACGAGCTGCGTCATCCGCATTCACATGCAGAATTGGGGCGTCGTTCACCTTGGCCACATTGGTGCCTCAGCCGTGGCAAAAGGCTGCGACTTGTTGAAGGGTAAAACCAAGTATTTAAAGCGGAATCTGACGGAATCCATATTGACATTTAATAAAAACAGATCAACTATGACCGACTTCTACTTGAGTATACATCCAGTTTATCCACTTAGTTACCCTCCCCAAATTAACGTAGACTATGAAAATCGTCTGATTTTAGTGGTTAATCACCTTTCAACCCCCTATATCTTTGGCAGGGTCTATATTGATTTTGGGGATGCTATAATTGGAAATAAACTGTGGTATAGGAAAATCATCGCACTATTCATGGGAATGTTCGAGCTTAAGCCATCTTTGATGACACAGGAGGGTATCAATCAATTCCATGAATACTCCGCATATTCCACTCATATTCCACAAGATATATCCATCAAAAAGCACCATCATCGTTGCTTAAATCCCCGTGAATAAAAAATATAAACCAAATCAAAAGCCCATGTTTTGCCATATCAAAAGCCCATTGTTACCATGTTTTCCCATATTTTCCCATATGTTCCCATGATTTTTTCATTCATGGTCCCAAAAAAAAAATGGGGTCAGGGTACAGTGATATGATGACCTCGCGGCGCGGGGGTCCGTGGTAAAACCCACCATGTTGTTGATCACCTGAACGGCGGTTGGGGACAGGGGTTCTTGCTGGGACAGGGGAAATGGATAGAGCTTCAAGTGGGACTGGGAAAGCCAGTAAACCATAGTAGACCTATAATATATAATATTTATATATATATATATAAACCTATCATTGGGATGGTAGCAATCCCAGCAAAAATGGTGGAATGGGGATGGTTTATGAAATCGGTTACCACAGCATTTTTGGTGCCACAAGATGAAAGGCTGGGTATAGTGGATACAAGGTGGTGCCCCATACTTAGCGAAATGAGTTTATATCTCGATGAACTGTTGGGTTTATGGTGATTATAACTAGGGCGCACCACCTTGTAGCTGGCTTCCCTTACTGGAGCCGCTTTGTGCTGTGATAAGAAAGTACGAATGGTCCAACAGATTAGATGAATTGTTGAAGTGATTACCCTCTGGTAAACTAACATAACTATAGAAAATCACCATTTTCAATGGGAAAATCCACTATAAATGGTGATTTTCAATAGCTATGTTAAATTACCAGAGGGTAAAATCTTTTCCAATCGATTGCTAAGAGCTTGTTGCAACTTGTATTCTCATGTCTTCTGAAGTCCTGGGCGCGTGAAACATCGAGGTGCGAGGACTGGCCATGACCAGGGCGAGTCGTATTGTTTTGGTGCTGGGTCCACCATAAAAGTCAACTGTCTATACCCATGGAAAATGTTCAAAAATAAATATCCTCGTAATAAAATTGTGTTTTTTAATGTAAAAAACATTAAAATTCCATATATATATATAATTATAAATAAATATATATATATATAATATATATATGTATACCCATGGTGAATTTCCATAATAGACCCATAGTAAACTTCATATACCCATTTATCCATCCCAGTGACGAAGTGCACCGTGCCGCCCGTGGTGTAGGCGGGCAGGTCGCTGAGCTGCAGGCATTCCGAAAGGATGCCCTGGAACTGGGGGCTGGTGGGGGGGTGAGAGGGTACTATAAATCATAGGGAAATCTTGGGAAAATATGGCAAAACACAGCGTTTTATATGGTTTTATGGGGATTGAACCAACAAAAATGGTGCTAGAATGGGGATACTGCATGGACTGTGAGTGAAATATGTGGAATTTTAATAATGGAATATTCATGGAATTAATAGATACCGTTCGGTATCATCAAACATGGCTGGGAAATCCTGAAGGACTTCAGGGCATCAATTTTTCGTGGGATTTTTTTTCGCACTTCCCGAGGGGATAAATAGCAAAACATGCAAAAACATGACAAGCTACAGAAAAATGTCAGGGTGAAAATGTGATAAATGTGCTCCAGTGTTACACTCATACACTCTATTTTTGCGGCTCAAGAAAGGTCAAGGTGAAATTTTCGAGTCTAGGTCCTTGATCATGAGTCGGCAAAAATCGCTTTCCCAGCTCCAGCCAAAGCTTAGTGGCACCTTTCTCGATATCAGAGATGGTCCATGATACTCCCAAATGTATGGCCTTTTTTTTAAAGAAGGAGCCAACCATCCACCAAGGTTTTTCGCAAAATTCACTGGCGGATATGGGCCTGTCCGCAAAACGCCGCATCGCCATGGATCAAGACACCCATGACGCGGCGCATGTCAGTGTCGCCCATGTAGTCCTTGTGAGGGGCTGACTCGATGTGAAGTCTGCTGGATGAAATGGGTTGACTACACAATATGACATGACAACAGGTAACTATTCTATGCAGGTATGATCTGAGTTTTCATGTGGGTGGGGCCCCATACTTCAAGAATGATTGAAATTAATAATTTAAATTTATGATAGAAAATTCAAGTCCACAACAGAACGTGAAACCCACAACATGTTTCCAAACCAGATGAGTTCAGCCATTCCCATCATTGAACTGGTAAGGTCGAGGTTCCAGATATGTTTCTTGGTTGAGAAACTCACCCCATTAAAGTTCAGTAACCAGAGATATGGCAGTGTGTCAAAACCTTGTACCCCTGTAGTTCACATCAAAATAGCTGGGATTTATGGATGTTCATTTCCCTACAAAATGGTATTTTCATAGGTATTGATCCATAGCCATATAACCGCCATAAACCCAACAGTTGAGTTCACCAACCCCACCAACCCCAAGCACTTCCCCCAACGGAATCCGGTCCTGCTTGGCGCGGGTCATGCCCAGCACCACTGGATCCACGGCCTCCAGGTGTGATGGGTTGGGAGCCAAGGTGAGCTGCACATGCAAGTTGCGGCCTAGGAGCATCGCCATGGGGAAAACCATGGGGAGAACATGGGGAAATCATATCTTTATAGTGGCTATAAGGTTATAGATATATATATATATATACATAATCAACCATACATGATATGGAACATGAGAACATACGACTCATAGGGATTTCAGGGGAAAATCATGGGATTTAAAACATAGGATTTCATGCGATCTCATTCTGATTTACGAGGGATTTCATTCGGAATTTTTTTTCGGATAAGCAACAAATGTGGAAATCATGGGATAAGCATCGATTATGCAAAATGGTGCCCAAGGTTTTTGTTGGAGATCTACATGCTTGATGACGCTTGCCCGGTTGGGGGATGGAGATCTTCATCAAAACGATTGCGGTTTAAGAGAGTTGGGAGATCTGAATGGAGACATGATACCTCCAAATCTATTGGTTAATCATCAATTTCCCTATGAAGTGCCATTTTCAAGGTATCACATTTTCAGACAGACCCATTTCCAACAATATAGCCATAGTAATTTCCTACAACAAGTATCATATATCTCTCCCAACTATTGCTGCTTATATCCCCATGATATTCCTATACCGGGGGGGGCCTAAAGGAACATGTGTTTCCAGGCCGAGAAGCAAGTGCCGCGAGTTCCCAAATGATACTTCAGGTCGCCTGGTGCAGAAAACCATGGCAAGAAGATAGCTGAGCCATGGAGGAAAAGGGGCAGAGCAAATGGTCTAGAAATGTCCTTAAGGCTAGTAAGGCTAGTAAGGCTAGTATACATATGTATATATATATATAGCTATATATACGTGTGTATATATTGTAAATCCATATCGTTGCATCCTCCCAAGCCTCACTTCGTTTGCCACCCTGTCTGCAGGTCCACAATCAACCAATAGATGCCACATAGCACACTGGCTCAGGATAGCCCGAGGCGGGCGGGTAGGGTAACTGTTGCTTGCTGCCATAGGCTTGAACGTGGACGTTCTTTGCAGAGCCAGGGGCTCTTGAAAACACTTGTGGCCAGCCGGCCTTCGCAGTTCCAGCCGCTTCGAAGCCTGAGACCTATTTTGCCCTTGTGGTCGGGGAAAAGACCGCGTGTTGTGGATTCTTGGAAAGCCGTTGCCAGTGTTGATTTGGGATTTGTCCAATCACACTGGTAGCGGAGCGACCGTTACCAAAGACGGAAGGATCCGGGGAGGAAATCAGAGCCACCATGGCTGAAGCCTCTGAGGGATCTGAAGGTTCGACAGGCAATGTGAGCAACCAACTTGCTCTTCTGGTCCCGACGTTCGACCCCAGCAAGGATGACTTACAAGTGTATCAACAGAAGGTTGCGCTTCTCCTTGAAGCTTGGCCCATCAATAAGTACACTGAACTGGCAACGCGATTGATTCTGAATTGTGCTGGATCTGCTTTCAAGAAATTGCAGTTACACCAACCGGAGTTAATGGCCAATGACAGGAAGTCGATTCAAAGGATCATTGAACTGCTAGGGGGACATTAGGGACAGATCGACCTCGAGAAGAAGTACGAGTTTGCAGAGAGAGCTTTGTACAAGTGCAATCAGAAAAGCGATGAGAGTGCAGATTCTTACCTTGCCCGAGCTGACATCATGTGGACTGAGTTGAATAGCAAAAAGTTCGCACTCAGCGATCTCCAGGCATATGTGACCTTGAGGGGTTCAGTGCTGTCACCGGAAGACAAGAAGAGGGTCTTGGTTGATGCAGATGTGGTAGATAAAGGTGAACTGACTGTCAAGCGTGTGAGCTCAGCAATCAGGATGCTTGGAGCAGGCTTCTTTCAGGAGAACTGCAGGGAAACGCACGAACAAGTTGAAGACCTACGACCAAGCCACGCTGGTGACCGAAGATTGTGATGACGATCTGGAGCCAGCAATGGCTGCAGAAATCATGGAAGATGATGAGCAAGCAGTTGAAACCTTGGCCCAAGAGGGCGATGATGATGCCACTCTGGTTATGGATTTCGAAAATGCTGCTGCAGAACTCCTGCAAACAGATGAGGAGCTTGCAAGTGCATATACAGCCTACACAGATGCCAGGCGCCGACTCAACGAAAAGGTGCGATCAAGGGGTTTTTGGCCTTCATCATTCAAGGGAAAATCCAAGAATGTGTGGAAAGGTGGAAAAGGCAAGTTTTCCAAGGGACACAATTCCTCCAGGAAAACGCTGCAACAGAGAATCCTGGAATCTCGATGTAGATTGTGCAATCAAGTTGGTCACTGGAAGGCAGAATGCCCAAGTCGTCGTGACGCTCAAGGGCCCTCTGCCAGAACGCCTCAAGCACCAACGACGTTTGCCCAAGTGATTGAACCTCCAGGTACTCAAGCCAGTGACGCCCTACCCATGGAATTCTTGAACTTGCCAGTAATCCACGAGCCAACCTTGGATGTGCCTCAGCCTGAATGCGACGCCGTTTGCATGACACACCATGAAATGACACAGAGTAGGACCCCTAATGAGCTCCGAGATAAGCTTCAAGAATCCCTAAAGAAATGGAAAAGCCATCAGATTGCATCTGTCGCACACGCCAGGAATGAAGATGGTAATGCCAGTGCCTCTCGACAACGCCTTCGCCAAGTTGTTGAGAACCTCCGTGCCTTGGAGACACCTGCCAGGAATGAGTGTCCGGAGCCAGAGCCTGCCTGTTTTGCATCACATGGAAGTCTGGGGATAGTAGATTTGGGGGCTACTAAGACGGTTATAGGTAGTAAGCTTGTACCTGAACTTCTAGGCGGTTTGGATGACAGCATTCGGAGTCAAATCAAACGATGTCCATGTGTAGTAACCTTTAGGTTTGGTAACCATGGGGTGTTGCAAAGCCAGCAGGCAATCGTAGTACCACTCCCAGGACTGCTGCTCAAAATCGCAGTTGTGCCAGGATCCACTCCATTTTTGCTGTCAAACACCTTGCTGAGAGCCCTTGGGGCCACCATAGACACCTCACACCACATGTTGCATGCCACCAAAATTGGCAAGAGTTTTCCGTTGAATCTGACCAGCAAGGGTTTGTTTTTGCTTGATTTGAACGATCTCGCACAGCCCATCAAGAGATCATCGGAATTTTCCAGCATTGCTGAAACGCATGCATCAACCGACAGTCACCGTGACCATGCCAGAGTCCAGCCAAAAGGCAGTTCAACCGGAGCTGTCCAAGGGTTTTGTGAGGCAGATCAGGTATCAGGCGAAGACATAAATACTCCAACCGTTGAAAAGTCACTTGCCAAGACAGATGAAACAAACCGTATCCATCAGGATTGCCAATCTGACCATAGCGGAATTTCCGAAAGCTCTGACAGGTCCAAGCCCATCCCTCGTAGTTTCAAGGTGATTTCACGATCGCAACATGGCGATGTCCACACCGGCCAATCGTCTGCAAAAGTTGCAGCAGACAGCACCCGATCCCGTGTTCGATTTCAGTCACCTGTCCATGGAGAAGCTCGAGACTCACCAGATCAGGTTTGGAAAAACCCATGTGGGCAAAACCTATCGCCACATGTGGGAGAACGAACAACGCTGGATCCTATGGTTCTCCCAGCACTACAGCCGAAGCTCCAAGTGGGATCATCGAGAGTTTCTCCATTATGTGGAGATGAAGATCGAGAGATGCGAACAGACGGGAACCAAGGTGTCAGTTCAGAGTGCCACCGAACAGGAGAAGGCGGCCAGTCAGGCCAGTCCAGCTCAACTGCGGGGAGCCATGCCCAAGGCCAAGGCCATGATGACTCAACAACGAGTGGGTCCAACCACAGTGTGGGACCTCGAGGAGGATCCAGAGCTCTTCGAGATTCTGCCGGAACCCGAATCTCCAATCGATCCGGCCCTGATGGCCAATCCAAGCTATCCGCTGGAAGATCGGATGCTGCAAGTGGAGAACGCCCTGAACAAGGTGATCATCTACATCGAGCAGAATGCTGCCCTCCAGGCCACCGAACAGTGAGTCGAGATGAATGCCCCAGCGTGATCGCCCTGCAATCAGCTGGTGACGTAAGTGCCGACTGTACATACACCAGTAATGACCAGTACACTCCTGAAAGCAACCGTGAAAGAGACCATTTCCTGAAACTTTTGAACAAATTCACCAAGAAATTTACTCAAGTACAACATCAGCACAATCACCAGAGCATGAACAGTTCCCAAAGGCTTGATCTGCTGGAAGTTTTCTGCGGCCCTCAGAGCCAATTGACGCATCAATCCCAGCAACTGGGATACAAAGCTGAGCGATTCAGTCACTTGCAGGGAGATTTGCAGACCTGCTCAGGCCGAAACCTTCTGTTTCAAAAGCTTGTGAAGTGTCGACCCAAGAATGTGTGGTTCTCTCCTACATGCGGACCTTGGAGCGGGTTTTCATGTCTCAATGGAAGCAAGTCCGTTGAAGCCTGGGATGATTTGCAGCAAGTCAGACTTCAGCATTTGGAACAAGTTGCCTTAGGAGTTGTGATACTAAGGTTCCAACGACAGAATTCCTGCCACATGCATTGGGAACAACCCAGGGGATCCATCATGCTGAAACTACCATACTTGCAGGAAGTCCGATTCTACATGTTGGCAGTAGATATTGACCTTTGCATTGCCGGAAATCTCAAGGACCCCAGCAACGGATTGCACATCAAGAAAGCCCTTACTAATTATCATGTCCACATCACGAAACATGATCAACGCCTTGTCAGGACTCAAATGCCATGGAAAACATCAACACCAAGTAATTGAAGGTCAAGTGAAATACCAAGGGCAGTATATCAACAGATCTGCATTCACAGAGAATTATCCCAGAAAATTTGCCCGAAAGATTGCCATTATACTGGGAAGGGTACACAAGCCGTTGGAACAGCCATACAACAATGAAGTTTGGCCTGTGCTAGCAGCTGCTGAGCACGAGGATGCGACACCACCGAAAAAGCCCAGGTTGACGCGATACGCTTCAGCCAAGCTCAGTCGCACGCTGGAGATTTCGAAGCTGCCCTGGGGAAAACGTCAGAAATGTAGTGTCAAGACCACACCAGTAGATTATGTCACTATGTGGAAGACCATTTTTGACAAAATCCAATCCATCATACCCCGAGTGGGTAAAAGATGTATTGAAGACCCTGAAATTCTTAAGTTGGTACAGCAGTTGATTCCCGACAAGACGATAGTCACCATGGTAGCTTGCCGTGGAGCCAGTCGAACCTTGGCACCACCTGAACATCTCTTGAAGGGAATGGCACCGTTTCGACGCTGTGTTTACACTGAAAGGGGATCTGGGGAACTACGGGCCGAGGAAGGCTGGGAACCATGGGAGGAATTGGCAAAAAGAAACTTGATTCGACCATCACATAACACCAGGATCAATTTAACCATGTTTGCCAATGAGACCAGACAACCAGGACAGCCATCCAGCAGCGCTGATGCACCCAGCATGCCCAGTTCCTCTTCATCCGGCACAAACACCAACGTACCGGAGAATTCGACAATGAACCGAGGATCTGAGATGAATGAAACTGATTCTCAACATAGATCCCAAGACCTGACCACAGTAGAACCGTTTCAGGGAATATCCAGTTCCCAAACTGCCGACCTACACAGTGCGAAACAATCAGCTCGATTCCAAGCCCTGCCTAGAGATGAACAGATCGCGCTGTTGAGAGCTCACAAGAATTTGGGACACCCAAGTGGGGAACGTTTGAGCACACTTTTAAGAGCACAAGGATATCGAGCTGAAATCGCACAAGCCGCACTGGATCTCAAGTGTTCGACATGCCAAGAGAGTCAGCAGCCTAAACTGGCAAGACCTGGAAGCATCCGTGATGAACTCGACTTTAACGATCGAATATGCATGGATGAATTTGACTGGACAAACAAAGAAGGGACCAAGTTCCGTGTTTATCACATTGTTGATTGGGCCACCAACTTCCAATGTGCCAGAGTAGCGCCTGACAAATCTACCACCGCCATAGTGCAGCTCATGATAGAGATGTGGTTTTCCTGGGCAGGATCCCCTAGTGAGATGTTGGTTGACGCAGGAACCGAATTCAACTCAGAGGAATTTGCAGAATTTGCCCAGGCAAACAACATCAAATTGACCACCATCAGTCCAGAGGCTCAGTATCAGAATGGCAAGGCTGAACGTCATGGGTCTGTTCTCAAGACCATGTTGACAAAGTTCGAAGGAGACCATCCCATCACTAGATATCAGGATCTTTCCCAAGCTTTATACTGGTGCATCCGAGCCAAGAACGCTAGCAGTCTCAAGAAAGGTTTTGCTCCAGAAGTGTTAGTATTGGGAAAACAAACAAGAATCCCTGGTTCAGTATGCAGTGATGAGATGTTGCCGGCACATTTCCTCGCCGACTCCGAGACTGCCCAAGGTGTCTCATTTCGGCGGCAACTTGCATATAGGGAAAGTGCCAGGTTAGCTTTCTTTCAAGCCGACAACGATGCCAGTCTGAGACGAGCCATGCTCCGCCGAGCCAGGCCAGGAGGTCAACAGTATGAGCCAGGAGAATGGGTCATGGCGTGGAAGCAGAGCAAGGGCTCATTGCCCGGTCACTGGATGGGCCCCATGAAAGTGGTAGTGCATGAAAACAGTCAGACAATTTGGACCACCATGGCATGTAAACTGTGTAGGTGCGCTCCAGAACACGTACGACCAGTGTCTGCCAATGAAGCCCGCACAATTCCCATTGTAACCCAGGAACCTTCAATATCAATCATTTCTCAGCAACTTGATAAGATTCAATCTCAAGGAATTACCCGATCCATCAACATGCCAGTGGAAATCCCCATAGAACCAATTCCCAATAATGACAATGCACCAGCCACAGGAGGTTCTGAGTCCGAAGGCCAACCAGATGTTGAGCCCGAGATACCTTCACACCAATCCACCACTTCAGAACCCAGTAACGTTGACCCAGAAATAAATTCCCAAAACACTATTAACAGTAACCATCCTGTCCAAGAGCAACATACTGATCCAGCAATCACCACACCAATACCTGATGCGGATGACGATGATGACCTCATGTGTGATACTCTGCTTTGTAAAGACATTGATCCAGATCCCTTTGTTGCCGAAACATCGTTAGCATGGAGATGCGAGATTCCTGTCTTTGAAAAGGACATTGCAGCCTGGAAGAGAGAAACCACCCCTTCCGAGATGGCATTCTTAGCATCCGCTGCCAAACGACAGAGATCCGAGGTGAAACTCTCTGAACTTTCAGCAGCTGAGAAACTGGAGTTTCAAAAGGCCAAGATGACGGAAGTCAACAACTGGATCAAGACGGGAACAGTTTCCAAAATTTTGCGGAACCAAGTACCACCCAACCAAATTCTCAGATGCCGTTGGATTCTGACATGGAAACCTATAGATTCTAATCCAGAGGAAAATAACCAACAAGGAAAAGCCACCAAGGCGAAAGCTAGATTAGTAATTCTTGGGTACCTGGATCCTAAGCTGGAAGATTTGCCTCGAGATTCCCCTACGCTTGGTAGAAACTCCAAGATGCTGTTGTTGCAATTGATTGCATCCAAGGGGTGGCAATTGCGCTCTTTCGATATCAAGGCAGCGTTTCTCCAAGGGAAACCTCAAGCAGACCGGACTTTGGCAATTGAACCCGTGAGCGAGCTGATCGAGGCTCTTCAACTGGCCACCAATGAAGTCTGCAAACTTGAGAAAGGGGCCTATGGTTTGATCGACGCACCATATCAATGGTACCAAGCCATTTCCGAAGAACTTCAAGGACTAGGCTTCTCCCAAAGTCCTTTTGATCCCTGCCAATTTATCCTACGACACCCCCAAACAGGTCACTTGGAGGGTGTCTTGGGGTTGCATGTTGACGATGGTATTTGCGGGGGAAGTGACTACTTTGGAGAAAAGCTCATGCAACTTGAAAAGAAGTATCCATTTGGTAGCAAGAAAATCAAGCAATTCACATTCACAGGAATTGAAATGGATCAACATACAAATGGAACTATCACCATGAAACAATCCAATTATGTCCGAGCAATTGACCCAATCAAAATACCAATGGAACGTCGCCAACAAGCTGATTCCAAAATTACTGAAGAAGAACGTCAAGCGCTCCGAGGTTTGATTGGAAGCCTCCAATATGCTGCTGTACATACACGACCAGATCTCTCAAGCCGACTTAGCATGTTGCAATCATCAATCAACAGTGCCACCATCAATACTCTCATATCCGCCAATCAAGCACTTCATGAAGCCAAAAAGTACCATGATACCACCATCCAAATTCAACCCATCCCCATTGAAGACTTCAGATTTCTAGCGTTTTCAGATGCATCGTTTGCCTCCAAATCCAATCCAAGTTCCCATACTGGTAGCATGATCATGGGGACCCATAAATCCATTCGAGAGAATGTATCATGCCCGGTATCTCCGCTATCTTGGGGTTGTAAGAAGATTCAAAGGGTAGTGACCAGCACGCTGGCGGCAGAGACGGTGTCTCTGAATGCTGTTTTGGATCATCTGTCTTGGATGAGATTATGCTGGGCCTGGATGCTTGACCCACAGGTCAACTGGAAGCGACCTAATTCAGCCCTTCAGCAGTTGCCTGAAACATATGCGACTGCAACCCTGAAGGCCCAACAGTTGCCAGAGAGCATTGCAGCTACTGATTGCAAAAGCCTGTATGACCTCGTAACGAGAACAGCAACACCCAGTTGTTCAGAATTCCGAACTCAACTGAATGCTCGAGCCATTAAGGATCTTCTAACAGAAGGAGTATCATTAAGATGGGTCCACAGTGGAGCTCAGTTAGCCGACTGTTTAACCAAAATCATGGAAACCACCTTTTTGCGAGAAACCTTAAGAATAGGCCGATACCGATTGAATGACGAACTTGAGGTGTTGAAAAATCGAGCTTCTTCCCGAAACCGTCTTCGATGGTTGCAAAGCTCATGTCAGACCAAGCAAGGCGAAAATGGATGCAACGATGAATGTTTTCTTAACATTGGTTTTTTAGGAGTGTAAATCCATATCGTTGCATCCTCCCAAGCCTCACTTCGTTTGCCACCCTGTCTGCAGGTCCACAATCAACCAATAGATGCCACATAGCACACTGGCTCAGGATAGCCCGAGGCGGGCGGGTAGGGTAACTGTTGCTTGCTGCCATAGGCTTGAACGTGGACGTTCTTTGCAGAGCCAGGGGCTCTTGAAAACACTTGTGGCCAGCCGGCCTTCGCAGTTCCAGCCGCTTCGAAGCCTGAGACCTATTTTGCCCTTGTGGTCGGGGAAAAGACCGCGTGTTGTGGATTCTTGGAAAGCCGTTGCCAGTGTTGATTTGGGATTTGTCCAATCACAATATATATATATATGTACACACATACACGTGTATGTTGTATTTTACATATTATGCATCTGAAACGAGCAATCTAAATCCAACTCTGAGTTTGGACCCATGGGATCCATGACACCAGGTAGCCACTGGGCCTATCAAGTCGTTTTGCTCGTCGAACTCGCTACAGACGTCCTTCAAACGCTTTCCCATGAAGTTCACCTGGATTTTTGGCGGGCAATGACTGGATGATGATGTTCAGTCATGGGAATGGAACATGGAGGACATATATATATATATAAATATATGTAATATAAATATATATATATAGATAAATATATGTGTTTCTATCTTTAGATATATATATATATATAATATGTATATATATAATATGTATATATATAATATGTATATATATAATATGTATATATATATATAATGTATATATATATATCATGATACTGCTACTAACCAGATCCAATATAGATATGTTGCAAATGTAACCACGCTGTTGCTACGATTCTCAAGTGCACCAGGGTCTCCCAACTGGTCTGCGACGCTCCAACGATGAACTCCACGGCTCATGGTTATGTTATCTCAAGATATCTCAAGTGCAAAGAACAGCAACACACAGATGTAACATAGAAAAGTCTGTTGACGACATACTAAGACTGTTCTGAAGTATATCTTAGTTGACTGTACTTAACTACTATGTTACTATGCTTATCTCAACAATATATAGATACTCCGATCTTTCCTGTTTGACCACAATCATGGAAACGGAAAAGGTCTGCCACGATTTGTGGTCCGGATGCTTTGTAGTTTGCTATTAGGTTTACCATGGTTTACCACATTCTCATATATTGGTGTCTATATATATTTTAATTCATAAGATTAGGTTTGCATGATGTAGTACTCTTGGAACCATCCTACTTCGTGATCATGTGATTATCAATCACTAGCGTATTGCGATCAATGACCCATGATGCCATGTATCATGGGCTAGCTGATATGTTCAGCTGGTGATTGGGAATCAGTGCCGTCATTGGCGGGGTTGTTAACATAAATAATCCCATGTTTCCTATCAAATTAGTACAACAGGATGATAGATGGTAATGGTATCAGATTATCAGCTTAGTGGGTGATCATTAACAATTGAATTTAATTGAAGAAATATTTGTGATCACATGCAATAGCCAAGAAATAGTCAATTATTCATTGCAAATATGGTCATTTGTTCTAGTCCTATAGACCATATAATTACCCATTCCGCTTGGTGGTTTGTAACCAATATGTTGTTCAAAAATAGGTTTCTGAATTGGAAACATCACCCCCAAAATACCATGGGAAACAACCAGCATCACCACGGGTGTCATCAGCTCCATGGCTGGCAAATCCCCCATTAGAAGAGTTCGACAAACGATGTTCCCAAGCTATAAAATGCGAGAAAAACCTCGATTGTTTGTGGATTTTCCCATGATTTTCCCATTCAAAGCTCCATAAATTGGTGGATTTTCCAGCCACGGCGCCAACACGTTGAGCCGGCCACGGTGTGCCATGCCCAGCTGAAGGTGTTCCATGCCAAGCTCATTGGCCTGGAACCGGTGGAAGCCCTAGTGGAGCCCCAAAAATCCAATGTATTTGTATATGTATATATATAATATACTGTATAATTGTATATGTATATAGGATATATGATATATATATATATATGTATATAGTATATATGTATATAGTAGCTATATGTATAATATACTTCATAGATCAGGTAAGATGAGATAGCACGAGATTCTCGATGCCGGGCCTTCTCCGTGAGCGCCCACAAGGCTGGCAGCAGCGCCTCGCAGCCCTTGAGACCGAAGCGCTTCGCCTGGGAAATGGAGGTTTCAAGAAGGTTTCAAGGTACCATATACCCTCTGGTAATTTAACATAGCTACTGAAAATGACCATTTATAGTGGATTGTCCCATTAAAAATGATGATTTTCCATAGTTATGTTAGTTTACCAGAGGGTAAAACCATGTTTATTGCGGCATGTGGAGGTTTCCATAAATGTGGGTACCCCAAAATTTCTGGTTCATCATGGAAAATCCCAGGAAACCCCCATATGCCCTTATATAGCCCTAAAAAAATAGGCCTGATGGTAACTACCTCCAATTTAGATACCTGAAATTGGCCAGTGAAATATTAGTACAGCAAATTCTATATCATCTGGGGAACTTGAACCTGTAATTTGAGATCCTTTTTGGAGACATCATGTTTTTGCTATGATCTTCTGGAAACAGTGTGTTTGTTGAAAACACCTAGAGTAATAATTGTAGATAATACAATATATAGATATATAGTCTCTATGGTGGTATATTGTTATAGTTACTACTGATTGTTAGGTATCATTAGTACAATAATGTGTATATCATTATATATTTGTTTATTGTATATACAGTATAATCGTATACCAGCAGTATGTGTGCTAATATGTAATAGTCCTTAATGTACGTATAAATATATACAGAGTTTGATCAACATACGTTTCAATACATACAGTTATTTTTGTTGTATACCTTAATCAAAATATCCTATCATTCGTAGGGTTTTAGCTACGTACCATAATTGGCTTAACCGGGGCCCCTCAGGTTTCCTGTAAAGTTTCCCTCGAAGCAACCCAACGTTTTTTGGCCACGATACGTGGAGGACTATTCCAATTAGCAACTGGTTAGTCATCATAGTTCATCTGGTTGGTGGTGCAATAATCATCTTGAAAAATATAAAAAGGATGGAGTTCGTCAATGGGAAGGATGACATTCCCAATATATTGCAATTGGAAAATAACCCATTCATGTTCCAAACCACCAAGCAAATCATAGTTGTAACCTATGGGCCTATCGCCCAGGAATTGGTGACCTGGGATCACCTGCATGGTCAAAGGATCACCATGGATCACCCACTTTGACTATCTTTGGCTGAAACTATGCTGGCCATGGCTTGATCTTGTGTCAACGATGCCATGTGACATCCCCTTTTTGAAAAGTGTCATGTTTTGACCCATGAAATCACAGGCTTTGAGCGCGCCTCTGGGAACTTTTCCCCCAGAAAACTTTCCAAAATGCTGGCCCTCAACAAGCGATTTAGGGCCTGGCGCTGGTCTGGATCACTCGTGCTGGGCATCTGGTCATCCAAAGAAACTGGGTTCACGTTCAACCCCGTTAGGATTGAAATTTGTGGTTCGTTCTTTGTTCGTCTTTTAGGTTGGCGAATTAGTTCTTCCCAGTGAGGAAAACTGGCTGGAAAATCATCCGGAACTTAGGATGATTTACCTCAAAGATCAGGATTTATGGATATTTGGGAACTTTCCAGCCATGTTTGATTCTCAGAGGATATAAGAGGATACGAGTTTACAATAGCTTACAGCGAACACCACCAGAAATGCAGCAGCTGCCACTGAATCATTTTTTTTTCGAAGGATGGATCTGGCTACCTGCGGTACCATCTGTTGATGGGTCATGGGGGATGTTTCGATCCACAACTGCCAGCTAAAATTTGCCGTCCAGACCAGGATAACAGTCACTAGTCACTGCTACTGTAAGTTTTCCAGTAGTATTCCTCAAAGATCCAAATATATATATATTATAACATATATTATAATATATATATAACATATAATATACAATATACAATATAGAATATACAATAAATAATATAAGATATAAGATATAATATACATGATATAGAATATATGATATATGATATATAATATATAATATATAATATATAATCTATAATATATAATATATATATAATATACTATATAATATATCATATATACATATAAACATTTATATATATATAGTTATATTATATCATAAAAGATCTTCCAAAGACGGAACCAGAAGATCCAGAAGGACAGCGACGATCAACCCATGTTCTGCATCATGGGGCCCTCAACATCCCCCACCCAGTTCGCGCCTCACGTTGTGTTTCCTGATCCACGTCTGCTTGAGCCACACGGGCTTCCAAACGCTCTTCCAACCAGATCCTGCCAGGCCGAGGTTTGAAAAACACAAGGGACGCATCTAACACTGGTTGGTGGTGCAATAATCATCTTGAAAAATATGAAAGTCAATGGGAAGGATAACATCCCAGATATTAAATTATGGAAAACAAAAGCCATATTCCAAACCACCAACCAGAACAAAATCAATAAAACAAATAAGGCTTTGGGGATACTCTGGGATTTGTTCAGGACTTTTGAGGCTGCACAGAAAATCCAAACACAAGTGCATGACCCACACCCAAGGCATTGAGTGGTGGTCATGAACTGGACCACCTGAAACATGGCGGGTCAGGTGCTGTCAGGTGAAATAATCGGCCTCCAAAATCAACATTGAGTGGGATATCACATACCTTACCATCCCAAATTAAAAGTTCGAATCTGAGAGTTAGCAATTTCTATGGGAAAGTAGCCTTGCAATCCTCTGTTTGGCAGGGTCTATGTTAGTTTGGAGGATGGTATATCCATCGATGGAAATAGCTCACACATCACAGTTCGCCAACCGTTCACCAAGGTTTATCATCCCAACTAACATGACGACCCTGCCTTTTTCATCCATGGGTTAGTCTCAAGGTTGAGCTTGTAATTGGCGGGGTGAATTCCCACTTGATAGTTCAAGTTACCAGTTTGGCTGTCCATCCCCCATTTTTGAGTGGAAAAACACCTATGGTATCCTTCGAAAAAAGGTCGTATGTATGTGTATATATATGCCTGTATATATATATATGTAGATTCCCAGGAATGTAGCCCTTTTTAGTCCTCTAGGCGGCTTATCCATGCTTATCCCATTAGAATCTCAGCTACGAACCATGGTTCGCACTCGTCGATCCCGGCTCTCCTCTCAATGGGATTGTCGATATGTTGATGTTCACAGCTGAGAGTCGAGGCATAAGCGCCACAGAGGTGGTCGATAAAACTCCTGCGCGGCCAAAAGAGGAGATAGGACCGTGAAAATTGGAGACGTTCAGAAACAAAATTGGTGGCATATATGTGTATATATATAGATAATATTATAGTGATAGATAGATAGATAGATAGATAGATAGATAGATAGATATATATATATATAAATACATACATATATATATATATACATATTCCTCCAAGCTATGGCTATATATCACCCCGTTCAGAAGCTATTTTCGAACGTCTACACCAAAGAGTGCCATGATTCTAATCTTGTAGGGTTCACGATTCCTCATATAGTTGTGTGTCATTTAAAAGTATTCACATATCATATATATTGTATATATGAGGAGATGTGTAATTACATATACATATACATAATAATATTAATATCAATATTACATATATATGATATGATATCATATATATATACAATATTATTATTTAGTATTTAGTATTATTATTATCATTATTATAATCATATATATATACAGTATTATATATATATATATCGTCGACATGATTCGAAATTCTCAGTCTTCTCCCTTTGGTCGGCTCCTAAAGGTCCACCGGCCTCCAGGTGCCGCTCCCCAGAAAGCCGGGACATTCACTCCTGGCTGACCGGTGAAACACAACGGCCGTAGGAAAAAATGGTGGTTTTACATGGTTTTTACATGGTTTTTACATGGTTTTTACATGGTTTTTACATGGTTTTTAATTACATGGTTTTTACATGGTTTTCATATGTGTTGGTTTTCATGAATCATGAAATACCCATGTAAAAAATGTAAAACCAACATTAAAAACAATGTTTTAGTGTGTTCATTGTGTGTGTGTTTTATTTTAATGGGTTTGTTTTAATTGTATTTATATAATCAACAAAACCACAGTTCTTATGGAGTATTCCAGGGGGATATAATGGGGATTTACTGTTGATCCATCTGGCAATCGATTACATTGCTATGGAACACCAGCATTAAAACAATATGTAGAACACCAACAAACCGGCCATTTTTTGTAAGTGTGTTACATTAGCAAAGGCAGAATGGTGTCTGAATGATGATTAAACGAAATGAGTTTGGGATTCAACTAGTGTTAGATGGTGGTTAAACCAACCAAATTGTGATATCAATGAGATATATATATATATATGTTACTACAGAAACTCAGCAACTACTTACCAAATTGGTGAGAAATCGTAAGTCAAACGGATCATATGATCCCATCAAATGAAAACCGAAATGGGTTGAGTCGTTTGGTAAGCCAGAAACGACCACAGATCTCTGTCAAACGTGGGCTGTAATCCGAAATGGGATGTGTTTAAATCAAATTCCATCATTGATCAGATCTATGAAATTCATTGAGATCATGTGTTGCATCTGTAAATGATTGTAAATGCGCTAATCTACCACAAAACACCGCCAACATCCGTTGCTATGCCCCACCAGCCAAGCCTTCTGGTAGTGGGTCATCTTCAGCATAGCTCTCGAGGGCAAAGACGCTTAAGTCGACGCTGTCCTCGGCTCGGCATCGCTCGGCTGTCATAAGAGCATGGAGACAAGACATAAGCAGCATGGATGGATACTCTCTGGTAAACATACAAAAAACTATGGAAAATCACCATTTTCAATGGGAAAATCCACTATTAATGGCAATTTTCAATAGCTATGTTAAATTACCAGAGGGTAATACATCTGAATGATTTGAGCTGCATACATACTATATGTTCTAAATTGTTCTAAGATTCAAATGATCTTTTAGGATCTTTTGGATACATTTGACTGGAGAGTTCCGGCAATGGACACCATGGATGACTTGGGTAATCACACCTTCCCCATGGAAAGAAGAGCCCGTTGCTCGCTAAATCAGCAGTGCCAACCTCAGGATTCAACGGAAAACTCTGCAATGGCCACTTTTGAGATTACAAGTTCATCATGGTTGTACTGGTTCCCACATTTTCTTGGACAAACTCGGTATCACTGTGTTCTTTACACTATTCAAATTACATCCCCAATATATCCCCATTTCCGCATATCCTTTGGACCCCCAGACAGTTCTCACCCAGTCACTGGATAGTTCCGGAGTAGCCTCACGAAGACGGCTGAAGTATGTAAGATTGGTTTCCCAACTGAAATGGGTCTGAAAATGGGGTGCAGTATAGCCTGTATAGTCCAATTTATGTGATTTGGGGGTGCCATATTTTTGGACGAACCTATATAAATCTAAATAGCGCAGAATGTTGGGTCACTTAAGTTATGACCAAGTGGCCTTCAGGCATCTTCAGGCCACGTGTGTTGGTTAAAAGCGTTTGAAGCCCCAGGTCTGTTGATAACGTCAGTCTTGTGGCTTCAAACCATATACAGTAATACCATGAAAAACTGTTGCTGTATCTTCATCCATTGAACGAGCAATTTGTTGGTTGGCTTTTACCCCCTGCTGAGGATCATGATCCAAATGCCGATGGGGTTACCGAAGCAAGCATCCAAGCAAGAATGTCCTTGTGGGGAAAGAAAATAGTTGATTTGGGGCACAAGACTGATAGTACACCTCCAGTTGTCAACAATACCTCCACTTGTCAATCAGTTGGATAAATCACCAGTTTAGTTGGTTGAATTTCCAGAAAATCCCAAAAGATCGCTCCTCAGAATCCCCAGTTTCGTTGGTTAGTTGCTACAGCAAATTTGGTCACTAAAACTGGGTCCCAATGTGTGTGTGTGTATGTAAGCTTTTCACCAAAGACTTCATCAATTTGTTGATTGATGTTCATAGAGTTCCTTTTACTGGCACCTCCAACCATGGAAACTTCTTAGGGCATTAAATCATCAATCAAATTTATATCCCTATTTTCCCCCACGAATCAAATGTTGCAGTGGAAAATCATGGAAAATCCACCATCTATAGATGGTTTTCCCATGAAATTCTCCATTTACAAGGGATTTCCCATTGCCATGTTTGATTAGTGCAGGCTATTCCTAGAGGATCAGTATCGAATCATTAAGGCAACACCTTACCCTTGATATTGATTAACTCCCATGATATCCCACAAGGATTCAGTTTGATCCAATGCTGGGACCATATCCAATATCTCCCATGATGCTATATGACTACCCATTTCCCCCAATCAAACTGCCGGTAAAAGGCCACAAATCAGAGAGTAGATGTCCTTTCCCCGCTTGATTCATAGAAGTTTCCTACTTCGCCAAAGCGGCCCGGCAGCAGTTTTTCCTACTAGAAAAAGGGTAAATCACCGAACTAAATGGGTCGTCTATACCATTCCATGTCAGTTTACTGTTGGTTCCCATGAAACCACCATAAAACCATCTTTTTAGACCATGATTAAAGCACCATTTTCCAGCCCAAGGGCCCCAAGGGCCCCAAGTTCCAACCAGGGCACCGGTTCACATCAATGCTTGGGATCTTTTGACCATGGCTCCCACCGATGCGCCAATGGATGGGTTCCTTTGGCGACAACTGACCTCGGTGGATCGGGCTTCCGAGTTACGGTAGACTTCCATACCGTCATATGTATAGCTATATAATACACTATCATCTATATTTATGATATATATATATATATATATATATATTATAATTATATAATATATATATATAATTAAAGATATAATTATATATATATATATTACTTGGTGGATTGTCGATTCCCTTCGAAAACTATACTTTCTAGCCGGATGAATGGTGACCCCATATATAGTCCCAATAAGGCTAAAAATCCAAGTCTAACCACCAAATTCACAAAAAAAAACTGGAGTAGCAAAAAAAACAAACAAATCCAAGTGCCAAAACAAGCTAAACATCTAAGTAAAAAACATAATCGGTTAAACAAACCTTCCGGTTGGTGGTTTTGACCCTCCCAAGTAATATGTTCGTCATCTCGACCAATCATCCTAACTAGTATGGTTGGAAAAAAACAAACAACACATGTGAAACCCCCAGCAAAATCATCATTTGTTTTATAGTGTTTTATACCATATACCCATGATATCTCCATGCAGTATATGCATGTTAGTAGGTTAAGTCCTTACTTATCAGGAAATATTTGCCTATCAATCCCATTCTATCACCATTAAATGCTCTTAAATCCCATGCGATCACCCAACAAATCTCATGTTTTCCAGATTTTCCTATGATTTCCCCTGATTTTCCCATGGTTTGCCATGTTTTCACACAGTTTTCCCACGTTTTTCCCACCTTTTTCCCATCCAACACCCTCCCGCCGAGGCGCGCGACTGCTTCCCCCGCAGCGGATCCAGGCGCGCCGCCAGGTGTCCCCGGTGCCGCAGGGCCTGCGCCAAATGGAAGCAGCGGGTGGAGACCTGGCAACGGCGGAGATTCCATGGCTTCATGGTGAAGGAATTTTCTGGATATGCCATGCTAAATAATGTTTAGTGGTTCATAAATGTTAATAATAGTGATCATAATGGTGATTATGCCATACTAATAGTTTAGTGATTAATGGTGATCATTCCATTAGCGGTGATTGTTCATAAATGGCTGGTTGGTGGTATACCTACCCCTCTGAAAAATATGAGTTCGTCAGTTGGGATGATGACATTCCCAATATATGGGAAAAATAAAAATCAAGTTCCAAACCACCAACCAGAATAGTTGAGTGGTTAATGGTGATCATTCCATTAACGGTGATTCTTGATCAATGGTTAATTGATACTTAATAATGGTGAAGGAATTTTCTGGAATGATTAGTGGTTAATGATGATGGTGGTTATGATCATAATAATGGTGATTATCATAATAATAATGGTGATCATACTATTGATTAGAATAATTAGTGGTTAATAATGATCATAATAGTTTAGTGGTTCATAAATGTTAATGATAGTGATCATAACTAATAGTTGAGTGGTTAATGGTGATCATTCCATTTGCGGTGATTGTTGATCAATGGTTAATTGATGCTTAATAGTGGTGAAGGAATTTGCTGGAATGATTAGTGGTTGATGATGATGGTGGTTATGATCATAATAATGGTGACTATCATAATAATAATGGTGATCATACTATTGATTAGAATAATTAGTGGTTAATAATGATCATAATAGTTTAGTGGTTCATAAATGTTAATGATAGTGATCATAACTAATAGTTTAGTGGTTAATGGTGATCATTCCATTAGCGGTGATTCTTGATCAATGGTTAATTGATGCTTAATAATGGTGAAGGAATTTGCTGGAATGATTAGTGGTTGATGATGATGGTGGTTATGATCATAATAATGGTGACTATCATAATAATAATGGTGATCATACTATTGATTAGAATAATTAGTGGTTAATAATGATCATAATAGTTTAGTGGTTCATAAATGTTAATGATAGTGATCATAACTAATAGTTTAGTGGTTAATGGTGATCATTCCATTAGCGGTGATTGTTAATAAATGGCTGGTTGGTGGTATACCTACCCCTCTGAAAAAATATGAGTTCGTCAGTTGGGATGATGACATTCCCGATATATGGGAAAAATAAAAATCATGTTCCAAACCACCAACCAGAATAGTTGAGTGGTTAATGGTGATCATTCCATTAACGGTGATTGTTGATCAATGGTTAATTGATACTTAATAGTGGTGAAGGAATTTTCTGGAATGATTAGTGGTTAATGATGATGGTGGTTATGATCATACTAATGGTGATTATCATAATAATAATGGTGATCATACTAGTGATTATAATAATTAGTGGTTAATAATGATCATAATAGTTTAGTGGTTCATAAATGTTAATAATAGTGATCATATTGGTGATTATGCCATACTAATAGTTTAGTGATTAATGGTGATCATTCCATTAACGGTGATTGTTGATCAATGGTTAATTGATGTTTAATAATGGTGATGAATAAAGGTGAATCCATCACTATGATAATTGAGGTGGTTAATGGTGATTAATGGTGATTTGTTTTAATCACTCTGATTATTCCATGGATTTATGATAGTGATATGGCTATGAACAATGGTGATTATGAATGGTGATTAAGAATGGATTAAGTGATTCCACTATGATTGATTAATAATGCTGATTAATGATGAATAGCATCTTTTATGGTGATTGGGGAAGTGTCATATTAGGTGTAAGATGGTGTAAGACTTCAATGATAGGTATATGGCTAGGATAGGTATACGACGGATATGATGGTAGTTATGGCCATTGTAGTTGTTTTTGTTGGTGTATAAGACGATTCAACTTTGGGATTTCGCCCGGAAACCTATGGAATAGTAGAGACGGTATCAAAGTACATTTTGGTAAACCAGAGATTTTGATAAGCTACCGTCTCTACTATCCCATGGGTTTTTATTGGATTTTTATTGGCCAAGACAGACATGCCATGAACGCTGAGATGTTTATTGGCCAAGAATTGTTGGGATTCCAAGCAAGAAAGGTTTGTGAATTTTGCCGAACAGGTGGAGTTCATTATTTGTTGCCAAAGCACTGCGATCACTGGGCCGTACTCATCTTGGAAATCATTGAAACAGCACTGGTTTGCTGATAAACCTGATTTCAAGAATCACTTGTAGTCATTGAAACCATTTCAGTCAATCTAACATAGCATTAAAGATGCAATGCTTAATAGTAATAGGTAAATCATCAAGACGTGTTAAATTACCAGAGGGTATTCCTTCTACATGCATCAACAGTTGGATCAAGTCAGACACTAAAACATAATGAAATGCACAACCCAAAAAAAAATGGAGGCCTTCAAAGTTAACTTTCCTCTATTGCTGAAAAGCCATTGCTGGATGCCGGCGAGCTGCATGCCACTCTTTCAGCCAATTCTCAGAAGTCGTGGAATGACGGCGCCACTGGCTCAGCGCACATCTCCTGGGACATGGTAAACATGACCCTCTGGGAATTTCACATAGCTATGCTATAGATGGCCCATAGCTGTGGATTTATACCTATTAAAGATGGTGGATTTTCACGGATTTTCCATACTTAGCTATGTTTGTTTACCAGTATCTAAACATGGATTAACATCTGCCTTTCTAGGCACCCGTTTGCTACCTCTCCTGTCAAGATGGACTCTGATGTGCTGAAAACCGCCCCGCATGCCGCGGCTTGCAGCAATTGCGCCAGCGCGAGTCTTTCATCGCCGAAGTCAAGTGTCTGGTTCGTTTTGACTACGGTGATCTGCGGTTCTAAGTAAGAAACGGTTTGAATTTGCTTCAAAACTGACTAAACCCGCACACACACATGGATAGTATTCTCAGTCGTTCTGCTACAGAAATTCTTCAAGGTCCATGCCCAACAGATTGGACGTCGGTCACTGCGATGCTCATCACGTTTCATCGCAACATCGACCTACTATGGAACCATCATGAACCATCCAAAGAATCAAAACTATCATGCAGGTCGGCACCTTCTGATCCATCGCCAAGACAGTTTCCTTAAAATCTACTGATGTGCTTCGAGCCTCAAAACAATGGACACAACCTGGCGCAAAACCACGACAGGAACATGAGGTGATCCAAAGTGAATCACAATGTTCTCCCCACAGGAAGTGGTAGGTTCCAGATCAAAGTCCATATGAATTTGGCATACTGAGTATCTCAGATTTTTTTGGGAAATTTGATACATCTAATGACCTTAAACATATCATTTCGATGACGATCTTGACTTCTGTTCCTGGTCCCAGACCATGTCGGTTGTTGAGGGTCAAATCACATTCGTTGGAATCCCACCATGGTTTCACAACATGTTTTGGATACGTAAATTATACACAACATGTTTCGGATACGTAAATTAAATGGTTTTGTAAAATGGATACATATATTAAAAATAGGGATTGTATTTCATAATATACAATATCTATCCTTTAATCTAATACTTATGACTTATCCATACAACTGAACAAAGAAATATCTAAATATTATATGTGTATATATATATATACACATGTATATATAATACACATAGTATAACGAGGGATATCCTTTTCTTGTTGATGCTCCCGAAAAAAGGGCTCCGTCCCAAACCTGGGGATTTCGGACTTCGCGGCTGCTCACTTCGAAGCTGCGCGCAGCGGTGGAGGCGCGCAAGTCCCAGACCTGGCGACTCGCCTGGTTCGGTTGAAGGGAAAAAACCATGGAAAAAAAACGTGGCGATTTCATGGGGATTTAATGGGATTCAATGGGATTTAGGAATCTGTATGGATTTGTTTGGGGGATTTGATGGAATTATCTGGCTGAATTTAGTGGGATTTAATGGGATTCAATGTGATTCACCATCATTCCAGCGACGTCACAGTGAAGTAATCTTTATTCATCAGATATATATATATTTGTATTATATATTTATATGATTCTATATGCATGTCCATTTTGTACAGAAACATAGCTTCATATATAGGAATCATCCTCATAATTAATTTCAACATCGGGGTTAACGAGTTAAATCTATTTAACGTATAGTCTACAAGTAGGTTAACCATGGCTTATGGTATGTATATCTGTAGGTGACCTTATATCTGGGGTAAACCCAATGTCGTAAACCGTTCCCAATCTTGGAGGATTTTCACAACCCATTTATGGTGATATTGGAGATGGTTGATTGTCATCAGGTAGTACTGTAACTATTGGCAATAGTAATTATAGTAAATATAGTATGGTGTTCATCCTTTAAAAGAACACAACATGGATATCAGAAATGCTGGAAATAATACTAAATTGATAAAGGAAAACATGTGGTGACATCCGATATGTATATTAAATCTATATCAATCTAATATGGAAGATTACATCAATGATGCCCATTAAATTGTCGTAATGATAGTTGCCAATCACAAACTAACTTTTGACAAATGTTGACAACAATTGATCAACTGAGAATGAATGTACATGGGCAGGGATCATTACATTATGTAAATAGCAATAAATAGTAATCATTACAATGTGTATATTAGATATACGTGTATATATATATATATGCATGTGTGTGTTCATTCTCGTTACGATATACTCGTAATCAAGCAAATACTGTCATGTAAAGGACAGGATCTGATTGGAGTGGACAATTTGCTGTGACTTGTCAGTGTCATTAAGTGGGTACAATATAGATGATGATTATATTGCTATTGTCAAATATGCATGTCATCGAAGCTGAAGCATGTCCATTGTGATATACAATGTCAACACGTGCGATTAGTGCCCCCCTCAACCTACATTGGTGACACCTCCCTCACCTCTATTTCCAGGACCGAAGGCTTGGTTGGAACCAGCTGTCTTGACCGAAAATGTTCGGGCTACACCCCCTCCATTTTACAATCATCTTGAGATGCCCAATTTCTGGTTGAAACATCCAAAAATATTCCTCCCCATGGCACCATGGCGCTACCATCATGGGAACAACTCACCAGGCAGGAGGGATCTGCCTGGCGCATGGTCATCCCAGCATGAGCGCAACACAGTTAGCCCCTTCCCCTGGTGGGTGCAAGTTTTGACCATCCCAGCTTGCATGGAAGATCAAATCATGAAACAGGCTTGCCCCAACCCGGACGTTGCTCCACACTTACAATTGTCATCATCATCATCATCATCATCATCATCATCTTCATCATCTTCATCATCATCAAGATCATCCTAATCATACTATTTATCTTCATGAGGTGTCAAAATTCGCCACGCCCTCTGAACAATATGTTGGTTGGGGCAACAACATCAACTTTATCTTCATGAGAGATCAAAATTCGCAACACCCTATGAGCAATATGTTGACTGGGGTAATAACATCAACTTTATCTTCATGAGGGATCAAAATTCGCCACCCCCTCTGAACAATATGTTGGCTGGGGTAAAAAAAAAAAAAAACATCAACTTTATCTTCATGAGAGATCAAAATTCGCAACCCCTATGAACAATATGTTGATTGGGGCAATAACATCAACTTTATCTTCATGAGGGGTCAAAATTCGCCACCCCCTCTGAACAATATGTTGGTTGGGGTAATAACATCAACTTTATCTTCATGGAAGATCAAAATTCGCAACACCCTATGAGCAATATGTTGACTGGGGTAATAACATCAACTTTATCTTCATGAGAGATCAAAATTCGCAACACCCTATGAGCAATATTTTGACTGGGGTAATAACATCAACTTTATCTTCATGAGGGATCAAAATTTGCAACCCCCTCTGAACAATATGTTGACTAGGGTAAAAACATCAAATTTATCTTCATAAGGGATCAAAATTCGCCACCCCTATGAACAATATGTTGACTGGGGTAAAAACATCAAATTTATCTTCATAAGGGATCAAAATTTGCCACCCCTATGAACAATAAGTTGATTGGGGTAATAACATCAACTTTATCTTCATAGCCACCTGAAGTCAGACGCGTCGCAACGTCAGGGTTGCAGCAAACAGGTTTTAAACATCTTAAACCCACCGAGTTGATTATTGGGTTGATCTGTCTACAGTCGACTTCCGAACATCTTTGGGGAAACTAGTTGAATATCCCAAAGTCCAAACATACCTCAACCAAGGAGATGTTTGGAAGTCTTGGGAATAATGGTTGAAGCAATGGATATAGCCCATGAAGGGCGAATTTTATCCAGTGACTGGGTCGACTGGTTGGTGCTCAATAATGCTCAATGGGTTGACTAAAACTGTGATTTCAACCCGAACATCAATTGGCGATCATCATTCCCGGTAGGGTTGAACATAAAAGAGAAACCGCCAGCCAGCTCAGCCACATTTCATCTTGGCTAAGCGCACGAAAATGGCTCGGGTCCCTTCTACCTTTGAATAACCTCCATGGATCATTGATAATGTTATGTGATTTGCAGGAATTGGTGACTCAGGCCCTGAGCTCTGTTTGGGATGTCGGAACTTACATGATTCTTGATATATATATATATATATATATTCATTTTCAATTATACAGAAGGTGCAAACCAGAAGAAAGAAACAGGATACATCTGTCAATCTATGTACTCTGGCTGATGCTGTCTCAAATGTCTTATTGACTTCGTAGTCGGTTCAAGTAATGACTAGGCCCACTAGGCTACAAGTAGAGATCTTAAGTTTTCCTTGGCAACGTCGGCTACCAACTCAGTGATCATGATCCCAACACATCTTAACCAGAATCCTATCAAAAACCAAAATAAAACTCAACATGTCCGCGTCTGCGGTTGTTGATATAACTAGAGTAGAAAGTGCACCCTTTGCAGTTGGGTTTCAACCACAAACTGTCTGCCTATGAGGAATCTGCTGGGTCCATCTTAATGTGGCCCACTGGATCCAGATCTGTGTGGGTCTCTCCCGAAAATGGGGAATATCTAAAATGATGGCAGTCTTGATAGAGAAAATGTGGTTCTCAACCGTTTTTTGGTGGCATCCTATTTTCCAACAAGCCCATGAATGGCCTATTTCCCTGCAGTAGAGTTTAAGCCATCTTTTGGTGTGTGTGTATATATAATTATATATACATATCATATGTTTTTCCAAAAAAGGCAAGCCACAAATCCATCCAACTCCAACGCTTCAGTGTCAGTTTCCCACATTAAAAGTATATTACTATATATATATATATCATATCATTGGGGTATCCCGTGTCCAATTGTTGGATCCAGATGTGTGTAAATAAACCATCGTTGAAAACAAACCATGTGTTTCAGAGAGAGCTCCGAATTTCACTTTGAGGTAGTTCTTTTCTATCCAAATACTATGAATAACATTTGAATACATCAAAAACCTCAGAAATGTGCGAAAAAAAAAAAAAACATCTCCCATGCATATCCCCCATGATCATGATGCTTGCAGGTGAGTTTATATGCTTATGGCATCTTATGGCTATCCCTTTATAGAGGAAGTTTCGCATTGGCAAAAACCATGGTTTTTCCAGCGCTGAAGTTAACTTCTCCGCCTGGAAGAAACCCAAGTCTTCCACGACATCTCGGTGACCTGAGGGAAGAAGTGAACCGCTCATTGGAAAGTTCAAGGGAATTTACCCTGTGGTAATGACTAACATAGCTATTGAAAATGGCCATTTATAGTGGATTTACCCATTAAAAATGGTGATTTTCCATAGCTATGTTAAATTACCAGAG